AATTTAATTTACTATATATTTACACAGCAAGATGATAATGATTAAATCCAGCCACAGGTCACAAAAAAGGCAAAACCCAAACTGTCTCCTGAACATCACTGAAATGAAATGTACACACCATAACTGGTGTTTACAAAGCTGGTCTGAATAGCTTCAATTGAACTTCTTCAGTAAGCTCTTGCTGGTCATACTGGGTTCCCTGCTGCAGAGACCTGTTCAGTACCTGGATTTGTCTTTGTGATGTTTTCCCCTGTTGTCCAATGTGAGATGTGAATCAGAGAAGATTTTTCTATGGGAAGCACGACTGACCCCCTGTATTTAGTCTAGACAGTGAAGTAACAAATAAGCAAAAAAAACAATATAGTTTCAATATGGAATTTCATGTTAATTATATTATTCGTGTTAATTCATCCATGTCAATTTCATAATAACCTTACTTTCAGATAAATTATCAGAATAATAAATTCAGAAAACCTAGTAGGGTATGAGGCCTTGTCATAAGACACTGTCACTGCTGCCACCTAGTGGCTAGCAGCTGGAAAGACGCTATATAAACTGTATCATCAGTAACTTCAGTGCCAACTGAATCAGTACCAGAAATGTAGTCAGTTAGTGTTAAGTGTAAATAGGACAAGAAAATTAGTATTTTTTACTGTGTATACAAATTTCTCCTGAAGTTGAAAAAAGGTTTCAACAACAATAATAAATAAAGTGAAACTATGTGACTGCTTTCTTCTGCATTTATATCCATTTGGATCAATCTAGCAAGATGTAATGATAAAATAGGTCATCATGCATTCCAGAATGCTAATAATTAAATGTGACTTTAATTTAATGCATTAAACCTGCTTAATTACTTTTAGAGACCAAACCACAATATGTAATATTATGTTAATAATACTGATCATAGAAGCTATATAACCAGAGACAAAAAATATAAAATAATAGGCTACATTATGTGAATAGCATCAAGGGCACCAAATGACAACTTTTATAGATTTAGAGAGTCGTAAATATATATTATTTAACATACTGCTGATTAACTTATTATGTGCTAATTAATCTGATTACAATAGGGAAATAACCAGAGTAATAAAGTATTCACATACAAAAGATATTTACAAACAAACTGATTATACCAGGTATATAACAGTGAGAAAAATGATAGTACTAGAAAATACATTTAAAAATGTTCTATTAAGATTGGGACATGTGCCAGGATGTAGTAGGGCTGTTAAAAATGGCGAGCTTTTTCCCCCATAAAATGAAATTAATTAATTTAACCAGTAATAGCCTCAGAAAGGCTAACTAGAAATATGCGGCATGAAAGAACAATCTAATGCTACTGTTTTACAGAATACATTTTATAATCAGAGCACACACATAGGAATCTAGCACCAGCTGCTTCCTAGTTAGTTTGTTAAACTTCCTGAGTAAGCAATATTTCTAGTCTTTTTTCCCAAAATCATTATATAAGATTCCTTTCAAATGGCAGTTGGATCAAGTGGGCTTTTCTCGGATGCAGCATGCTCGATCTGTGCTGAGTGATGTTGGTTAGCACTGGAAAGGTGTTCTCGCACATCGCTGAGGATGCACCAAAAGTCCCTCCATGGTTCAGTGCTGTTATCACAGTAGCGCTGCAGGATGGCAGAAGGGGTCCACTTATCCTCAGTAGAGTGGGCCATTTCAGACTGCAAAAAGTGGCAAGCTGCAGAAAACAGATTCTGAAAGCTGGCATGGTGAACTCCAGCTAGTGTTGTAGTCAAGAACATCCAAAGTGAGACTAAGTCATGACCAAAACTAGACTGAGACAAGACCAAGAATTTGACAATTTGAGGCCCCATCCACACTGGTTTTAAAACGGAGACTTCTGCTACGTTTGCACCTCCCATCCAGACTAAAACGGCGAAAACGGAGACGTTTGAAACATTTGAAAACGCTGCCGACCCTGTTTTTCGTTTTGAAACTCCAAAGGGCGTTTTAGTGAAGACGGGCAAAAACAGAGGACTTTAGAAACAATGACGCAGACGCTCACGTTTGGCTCTCTGATTGGGTCTTATCAGTCATGCAAAGTAGAAACAGGATGCTACTGACAGAGTTTTTGATTTGGTATTTTTATTCAAATATTTTGGACTGTACAAATAAAACTTGCATGTTGCCGTATTTACTTTGTGATGACTCCCAGTCTGTTTTCCTTCGCCACAGCCACTTTGAACTCCAGTGTTACATTCAGTAACAGTCCCAGCTCGTTATTGGTCCATGCAAAATAAAATATGGTGCGTTTCTTTGTCTGTAGTACTTTATTCTTTCACCATATCTTCTGTAACTATTGAATAGACTATCTGCTTCATGTTTACACCGCCATGCACATGCGCAGTGTACTTGAACAGCCACTAGATGTGTGTCGTTTTAGTACAGACGGAGATTAACTCTGCAAGCAGCTAAAACGCTAGCGTGGACAAAGATCAGTACCACGTTGCTTAGCTTTAATATCAGGAGCTGTATGCAGCTGACATTAGCTAAAGTTGATGTAACTCACACATTTGCTACATAGCTTTATGTGGCCTGTCTTTTCATTGTTTGTCACAAGCACAAAGGTAACTTAGGAACAAGTGGTCACCACATGCACTTGAGAGCCAGCACAGCAGCTCCAGACTATGATACTCACAACTCTCCTGTTGCTATAGTCTCTGCAATGTCATCGCTGCTGCTGGGCCTGCTGGCTTTGGCCGGGGCAGATCGTGGAGTTTTCTTCATGGATCTGGGTTGCTACCCTGCCAATCATTGCTGGCTAGTGTAAAATGCACGTTATTGGCATGCCAGTGCATGAATGTCACCATAGACAAAACTCCGGTATACTGTCAAATACAGAATACAGAAAGAGGCAAGGGCTTAAATGTAATGGACATTCTTTTATATGTAAATGTCCCACACTCCAGCTTTAAAATAAAAATTTTTATTGCATAATAAAATCAATCCTGCACAATTTAATCCCGTTATAATTGTTTCTATTAAATAAATTGAAGGAAATGTGGAGAAATTGCTTTACCCAGGGAGTGCTACGTTTTTGGACTATGAAACATGAGTTTACCCGCTCACACATGGATGGGTCTTCTCCACCCTTGCAGGATGGGAAATTGACTTTAAAGACACTTCTCACCATCTGCCACAAGGTCCAGGAAGCAATGTCAATTGTCTGCTTTAAGATTTGAGGCCTCTACTACCACCTATGAGAACTCGTTTTCTGCAGCCCGAAGTAGTCAATGTTGACATTTTTGAAGGTGGTTTGTCAGGCAAGAGTCTGTCTTCAGGTATGTCTGCAATCTTCTGTCCGAGAGTCTTGAAATCCCTAAATCACTTTTTGTCAGATGACTACTCCTATTCACACTGCTACTTCGCTGCAGTGTGGAAATCTTTTCCTGAAACTGTTAGCGTTGGCTGAAATTGATGATCTCCATCTCAGCTCCTGTCAAGTCTTCCACAGTCACAGCATTCCTTTTCATTGTTGACTTGTTATTATGTTTCCTCTACTTCACAGTCCCCTGAGAGATGAGATCTGTTTGTGAATGTGCTTTGTTTTTCCTTAACTAATCTATGCTCGTAACATCATAACAATACATTGAGTGCATTTAGCAGTTTGTGGGTGCAGGCTCAGCAATGTGAGCACAGCAAAATTTCTTGGATGATAATGTAAACGGTTAGGGAGCTAGACTGAATATTATAAATGAGATTGTTGCCACATTTATAGTTAGAGTGTAGTAAGTAACCTTAATGTAACTTAGCCTATCCTATGGGTCTTCCACTGTGTGTTGCTGTCCTGCGCCGTTATGTTGTATTATTGTATATTATGTGGGTCCCATAAGTTACAGCGACTGAGCTGGGCAAAGAAACTAAATTTAAATTGAACGTTACGAAGCAAACAACGCCAGATCCATGCTAATCTCGAAGCCCCCTAGTTCTGTGAGCCAATGTGGTTTGAGCACGAGAAGTAGTATGAAGTAGGCTAGGCTATGTAAAAACCTTTCTAGTACACTGTAATCTGTTTTTGAACAAATCTGATAACCACTCCAGTTGCTGAATCTTCACTCATGTTAGATCTGCACTGTCGGTTGCAAATACTTTTCTAGCCTATTAGCTTACTGTTATAATACAGCCTGTCTAGTTTTGCAACAAATGCTGTTGTAATAAACTTATGTGTGATCAGTAACCAACATTATAACTAAAACACCATTCTGTTTTCTTTCTCATTTTCCTGATCCTTATTATTATTATATAATAGATATCTTGCAGATTAGTAGGCTTATGTCTGTGGCAGTGGTGGACAAAGTATTCAGGTCCTTTAAGTAAAAGTACTAATACCACACCGTAAAAAATACTCACAAGTAAAAGTACTTCATTGAAAATGTTACTTAAGTAAAAGTGTGTACGTATAATCAGGTAAATTTACTTAAAGTATTTAAAAATATCACATGAGAACCAACGTACTGATCTCAGATCTATTGTTTTTTTAGTAACTTTTTTAAAGTCATCTTTATTGCAAAAAAGGGGGTTACAATTCAGATGCGACTTATAAAGATATACATAACAGTATACAAATACATATTACAAAATTATTTTTTTTCCTGCTGAATTTACATTTATGAATGTGGAATTTTGCCAAAAGAATTAATACATGTAGAATGAAGAACATATTTTCTTTACTTTGACTTCTATAAAAGCAAAATACCACATTCTCCCACAATAAGGTAAAGTCTTTATAAATATGGTCTATGTTGAATCTGCTCAAGTTTTGCCAAAATGTTCTGGTGTGTAATACCAAAAGAGGTGCAAAACAGTTTCTGGGCGGTCTTCAAAAAAAGAACAGTTTATACTGATGTCTCTTTTAAATTTAACCATGTAATGATTAGCAGGGTGATGTCTGTGAATGACTCTGAACACTTCCTTCACCTTGTCATCTCAGATCTATCGTCAGCCACTTCCACCTCTCCCGGTTGTCGTATGTTGATGACGTTGAGGAAATGGCCGCTCTCGCCGTGTCTTGCGGGTAGTTTTATTTTCTCCACCATAGCGGTTAAATTAAACCGTATAAAATTTATTGCGGATTGTTACAAAACCAATATCAGCGGGAGAGGGCAGTTCGGAACGCAGCAGTGCCGTCTTTAAAGAGCTCCGGGTCGGCAAGGTGAATGAAAATGTGTGGTTGTTAGCAGCTAGCAGATTGTAGCTAAGCTTTTAGCTTAGCTGCAGCGGAGGCTGCATTGTTGAAAGACAGGCGAGTGTGCTACATTGTCTGCTTATTGCTAAAGCGGTAGTATCCGGTTAGTAATGCAATTAAGCCAACTGGTTTGTTTGTTTATATTCGTCAAGAAAGATTTGCTGTTCGGTGAGGGCAGTGTGGTCGTTGGTTAGCCAGCTCTTTTCACGTTGCCAAGTTATGGGCCTTGTTGCCACCTAGCGCGACCCAGCTATTAGAAGTGCTAACCTTACTAGATATGTTACGCTGCGGGTCAACTTTTGTATTTACAATTTTGGACATGCTGTCTAATTATGTAACACAAGTAGGGGAATAATGTCAAAGACTTTTAAATTAACGTTAAATGTGTACGCGTTTAGCTCCTACCATTGGCAATTGCTAGCTAGCTTGCTATAACGATAGCTTAGGTTTCTCCTTTGCTGTTGAATTAGCAGCGCTGGAAGCTAATGTTAACTTTTCTGTTGTCAATTATAAACTTGTGACTTCTTATTCTTATAAAAAGTGCTTTGTAAGTTAGTTGTAAGAAGTCCTAGACTTCTCTTATCCTGTTTGTCAGCAAGCTAGCCAGATTTTCTTTGCACAGGCAAACTCCAAATTACCGAAAAACAAACATTTATAGGTTGCTGTCATACATTTGTGTTATTTATTGCAATATATGTTGTACTGTATTGTGTAGCGTCTCGTATACCAAACTCAATCTGAAGGTTTAGCAATGCATTATTGGGTTTAGGATGTGTAAATACCCCTTTTTTTTCTGGGTGCATTATTTATATTTAGAGGCAACTTTATTGGTTAGTATGTATGTAGTAGTAGTAGTAGTAGTAGTAGGTTCTGAAATACTATTGTATACCTGATATATAACCTGGCTGATTTGTAAAGATGTTAAATGTACAGATTTTTTGATGGAGTTCTGTAAGATGTTCTTCCCATGAACATGCAGAAAGGCATATATTTACTATCAAAGTGCTGGCACAATTAGCATATTACGTGTTGATTGTTGTTGTTGTTTTTTTTTTTTTTTTACAGATTATTGTTTTTCTGTTTACATCAGAAAATTATCTAATGGATACTCCTGAAAGCCCTATCCAGTCCCCTCAGTCTCCTGAGGAGGAGGAGAAGGGCCTTTCTGACAGTGAGCTCCTAGATTCTCCTGATGAAGAGGAGGACGGGGTCATCTCAGACAGCGAGTTAGTCCATGGAGAGGAGAATGGGGCCCTGGGTGAGGAGGACGATGAGGAAGAGGCAGTGGAAAGCAGAGGAAGAGGTTTGGAGTTAGAGGAGGAGAGGGAAGAAGAGGATGAGGTGGTCCCTGACTTTGTCTCTGACCCAGAGGATGAGGAGCCTGTAGGAGAAACAGAAGGAATGGGCCTGAACGATGGGACCATTATCCTGGGGGGTGAAGACGGACCACACGGGGACCACTTAGAAGGGGAGGATGAGCGAGAAGGAGAAGATCAAGAGGATAGAGTCATTGACACCCCACAGTCTCCAGACTCAGAGCCAGAACAGGGCAAGAACTTCATTACTGAAGAGGACGGAGAAGATGGGGAAGGAGGATATAGTGACTACAGAAAGGATGCCTCATTAGAGCTTGAAACAGCTGATTTGGATGAGGAGGAGGAGGAGGAGGAAGACAAAAGCAAGGCCAAGGAAAAAGAGGATGAAAGAATGAGAGCTGAGGAAGAGGACAGGAGGAGAGCTGTCGTGGTGAGAGAGATGAAGGATGACTCAGCATCTGTTTCACGGGAGCTTGACGAGCACGAACTGGATTACGATGAGGAGGTCCCAGAGGAGCCCAGTATCCCTGTACATGAGGAAGATGAAGATGAAGAAGACCCAAAAGCAGAGGGAGAAGAAGAGGATGAGAGTGAAGACAAGATCAGTAAGAAGAAGGAGAAGAAACCAATCCTTCCCCCATCTCCTAAAGACAGTTTGAAGAGGACAGACAACTCCAAAGGGCCTGAGAGGATGCGCAGAGATTCCTTCCGAGACAAGAAGAAGGATGAAGATGATGGAGAGATTGACGAAGGAGAGATTGATGTAAGTGATCATAGTTTGGCAGGAAGTGTGAGGTTAATTCTTCTTTTAAAAAAAAAAAAAAAAAATGAATTAGAGGGTAAACCCCCCCAATGCACCATTTTATTTTCAAGGGGTTCCTCGTGTACAATACATTAAAATAAATTAAACAATCCCAATGACACAAAACAATCAATCTAGTAACATTAACATGGATATACACATTACGGCTCTCCCTTCATCCCAAACTACACCCACTACCTTTCTTAGAAGTGTTTATCTATCTATCTATCTATATATCTCTATCTATCTATCTATCTATCTATCTATCTAGATAGATAGAACAAGAACAATGAATGGGCCCTTGCACCTTTACGAAGGTCAGGAGGTGCTGCAACCGTGGTGCAGTTGACAGAGGGCCATGAATTTGCACACATTTTGGAAGCTGATCAAAGGAATTAAACGTCACTTTGTATGTCCCCTATGTGGTGCTAGAGAACACCCATTAATTACACGTTATGTTCCGGTACATCAAGTGTGGACCACACCATTAAAAGGGCTTACTCCATGTTGCCTGTAGGGCACGCGGCAACCATAAGTTGTAATTGGCATGTAGATATGCTCTGAGCGGGAGTCTTATAAAATATGTAGTTTGGGCCAGATTGGACAACGTATAATGAAGTCAGAACAACTTCCTGTTTCATGGCAAAACATTGAACACTGACAAAAAGTTCAACAAAATGTCACAGTTAGCGGAACTTCTCATCTCAAAGGTCTTTAGATTGCACTGCAAAAATCTGAAGTCAATCCAATTAATTCTGTAGGAGAGAGAGAGTTTGTTGGACCCTGTAAGTAATTAAAAATGGTCTAAAATTGCACTTTCAAATGGCAGACTTCCTGTTGGGTTTAGGGGGCTGCTCCAAAAGGCTTTTTTGTGTGTCTTGGGATGTTCTGCCACAAAGCATTCTGTACGGGGGCTCCTTCGTTGAACGCAAACTCGCTGTTGCCGGGACGCTATCAAACATGAACTTTGGTAGAGATTTGAGCATCTGCAATCAAGTTACAACTTGTAGTTTCATGGCAAAACATCAAACTTCAGTGCCACACCACGGACAAGCCGTTGAAAAAAATCACAAGCTTCACAACATAGCATCAATGTGCTAGGGCTTTTTTGAGACTGTTTTCAGGTGGGTGTGGCTAACCTATAGGGACAATACATCACAGCATAAGCTTGACATTTCCTGTTGCCATAAGGCAGCACTACGACAACGAGTGAAGATCGGAATGTGGATGACTTCTGGGCCAGACTATAAATCAAAAATGTAAAGTTTGCAAAGCGAAGGCAACGCAAAGGAACTCGCAGGTTGAATATATTCAACTCAAGCGAGAAAGTCGCATGACGCAAGTCGCGATTGCCTATCAGCATTGAGATTGTCCGTACGTCACCAACTGCTCCAGAGTGTTGTGTGGAGAGGGCCAGGCAGACCGTGAGATTGAAAATCTGCTGGCCGGCGGAGAGCTGCTAAAGTTGGGCTCGAGGAGCAGGGAGCAGCGCAGTGTTTCCTCTATATGCATTCAGCAGCGGCGGTGCGCACTACTAAAAGTTCTCACAATCATTGAACTATGCACTACAAATGTTTTCACTCGTACACTATGCGAGCACGGCAGTGTGCAAATAAAATGCACCTCAGAAGGGAGTAGGTTTCTCATGCTGCCTATTTTTTATATTAATGTCTACAGATAAATGTCAGAAGCTGTAAAAATGAACACACAAAAGGCAAACATGAACAGTCCTATTTATAATGATTAATATTAACGGGGTTTTCCTGCTGTTAAGACTTAGGTGTGATGCCCAAAACATGTTGTGCCATCACTGTGGAGCAACAGAACCAACCAAATTACTTTCTCCAGATCTAAAGGTTGTAGTTCCTCAGTAGACTGATCTTTGGGTGTTGTTTATTTATTATCTGCTCTAGCTTTTCCAGCTATTTGTTCAGAGATGTCGTGAAAATAATTGCCCAATATGATGTGAAATTGCGTATTTTTCATTGGAAAACATCAAATTTTCTTGGGAGGACCCCCAAACCCCCCGACCAACACCAAAACATTCATCTAAAGCTCACATTAAACTGGGAAAACACTGCAGTTTTAAGCTATTCTGAGGTGCATCACATGCCCATGGACACGAGCAATGTTGCTGAGATATGTTGAAACACTGAAGTTTACTTGTTTTGTTCGGGGGGAGCTTCTCAGCAGCTAGCTTCCGTGCACTTCCGGTTCCAGTATTGTTCTTAGCGTTGTTAGCTCTGTTGGATTATTACTTCATATTTATGGGCATTGCTGGGAGAAAAGAAAGTGAGAAGGTTGAACTACCTGGTGAGTTCAGAAAACATGTGTATGTAACTTTATTCCAGCTCTCGCTGTACTTTACTGTGAACAAGTTAGCATAGCATAGCCCTGATCGATCCAAACTCCATTCAGAAAACAAACATTTTAGAAGTTGTTGTCTTGCTGTCTTGCTGACAGACCTGACACAGCATGAATTCATATGTTTAACAAATCTGCATCATGTTGTAGTTATTTTGGCATCAGTTTGACCTGTTTATCGCTATTTAATCACAGCAAAATGTTTACTTTGGGTTCATACAGCTGTAGTAATGGCGAGTTGCGTTTATTCGCGTTATCGCATTGTGTGTGAACACTCAGCAGTTGTCCAGCGATAAAACCCCTGCGAGGATTAAATTTGCGTTTGGTCTGAATGCCGCACATTAACAGGCTAAATAACATTATGTCAAAATACTGAATCTACATATACACTAAAACTGAAGCTTATTATAAACAAGAACATGTAGATTTAAGATAAACAAGCAAAGAAATCTCGATTTCATAAAAAGAAGTAATCAATCTTAATAAGTTAGGGAAATAATAAACAATAAAAGTGAATATGATGATCTGAATGAACTAAATGCTGTTTTAAGTATGACGGATAGTTAGAGTAAAGGTAAATTTAAAAGCAAGACCAACCAATAAAGATGTCCCTAGAGTGAAGTGCTTGCCAGTTAAGTATGTCATACATGAAACGTGTGTGTGGTCAGGATGCCTCAAGACAATCTAATAATATTACTGTCAACAATATTTAAAGGATGAAGATGTGTAATCAATAATGGGAAATAAAAGCTGTTAGTTTGTTTTCTTAGTAATTCTTAATAGACTGAAACAATGAATTGACTGATATAGAATTCTAAGACTAGAATTTGTTTTATTTCTCATAAATCAATATGAGGCCTATAAGAAATTTCAGAATCAATCCCAATCCCAAAAAAAAGTCCCAAGTGGAGACCATCAGTTAAATGAATAGCCAGCTCAACAGATGATTATATCTAGTACCAAACAACATGTTACTAACTTAAAAAACATTTTAACAGCTTTAAATTTTAGTCGTATTGGACTCAGATGTGTATATATTTATCATCTGCATATAAATATAAAACTCTGGCTTGGTGCAGATGAATGGGGAAATATGCCTTGCATATTGAGTTTGATGGCTGCTCTCTTGTCTGGAGTTGTTTGTGTTTTATTCATCAACACAGAACTTTGTAAAATAGTAGCTGTTTGATGTAAAGACTGCAATTATGGTCAGAAAATAAAGATGTTCTGAAGTAAACGGACACACCCACCCAGTTTCTCCAAATCCCGTGGGGAAACACTGAGGACTTTTTGATTATTTAATATATGCAGTGGTGAAAAACCTGTCTGGTATTTGGGAAAGTTTATCATTATATTCAGTTTTGGCTTTGGCTTCGGACAATAATTTTCGTTTCGTTTTAATATATTTTATACTTTCTATGAATATTATCCAATTAATCTTATTTCTGTCCTGTATAGACACCTTATTTTGAAAACCGTCACATTGTCACATGTTTCCGCGACCCTGTACGCAGGATAAGCGGTTGACGATGGATGGATGAACATTGTCACATGTGTATCTTCGTGCTAAATTCATGAAGTCCGACCCAGTTTGATAAATAATATTGTATGTCGTTCTCCTGTGGCGTAACATGAAGACTTCACAGCCTCTCTTCAGATAGGACTCTAACACTGCAGCACTTGTCTTTGTAAAGAGAGAAACTTTCAGTGGATTTACCATAAAGGCTTTAATACGTGTGCACTCCAAATTTTAAACACGAAATGGAAATAACACTCTCTAAATTCCTTATTTTTATCATTATTAGTAGGTAGCTCTAATGGCGTCATGATTTGCCTTTTGTATGTGTGGGCAGGATGATGACCTGGAGGAGGGGGAGGTCAAAGATCCCTCAGACAGGAAGATCAGACCACGTCCTATCTGCAGGTTCTTCATCAAAGGTAAGTGGTAAATAGGGGTGTGCAATATATTGACTCAATATCATTATCGCAATATACACTCAACAAAATTATAAAATCAACACTTTTGTTTTTTCCCCCATTCATCATGAGCTGAACTCAAAGATCTAAGACTTTCTCTATGTACACAAAAGGCCTATTTCTCTCTAAATGTTGTTCACAAATCTGTCAAAGGCTACGTTCGCACTGCAGGCCTTAATGCTCCATTCCGGATCCGATTTTTTTGTTTTCACAGTTCACATTACTGTTTAAATGTGGCCCATATCAGACTCCAGTGTGAACTCTCCACGGCCTGAAAGGGACCCGAATGCGCAGAAGAATAACACAATGTTGCGTGCATTTATGTCCATGCTGAGGTCGCATTTAAAAACATCCGATCTGTATCGGATTTGGACCACACATGAAAGTGACCAAAATCCGAACAGGAAAAGATCAGATTCCTGTTAACACTGTTATAAAAAGATCAGATCTGAGACCATATGAGCAAAAAAATCGGATTTGGGTCACTTTGAGTGTAGCCAAAATCTGTGTTAGTGAGCACTTCTCCTTTGCTGAGATAATCCATCCACCTCACAGGTGTGACATACCAAGATGCTGATCAGACAGCATGGTTATTGCACAGGTGTGCCTTAAGGCTCGACTATACTCTGGAGCGGATGCGCACACAGACCGCTGCGGATGCAGACTACTTCTGTTCTGGAGTCTGCCTGGCGGACACGTTCCACACATGCCCAGTAGATCGGATGGTGCCCTGGTAGCTCTAGTTGGCCATTTTTTATGTCCGCGCAGTTATGAAAAGTAGGAGGCACGCAGACGTCCACACAGACCCTACGCGTACCCCCTTTGATGACGATTTTTCGAGTACGCGCAGACGTGGAAAGTATAACCCTTGCTTTAGGCTTGCCACAATAAAAGGCCACTCGAAAATGTGAAGTTTCACTGTATTGGGGGGGTTCCGGAAACAAGTGGCCCAATCCCAATGTCCAGACTCACAGACTTTGAGGCGTGTTCTCGGGAAGTCCGTGAGGGCTTAGGGCTGTCCCACTGTCAAATTGTCAAGTGCGCGAGGGCTCTCTCGCGGACATTTTGAGCCCTTTTTAGACCCTTTTCTTAAGTCCGCATTTCTGCAGACTTTGCCTGAAGGAATTTCCCACAGTTCATAGCGGTGTGACGTGAAACACGGGGGTTACCGGGGGAAGCCCGGAAGCGACAGAAATATCATGGCAAATCTGCGTTATAAGAGAAGAAAGAAGAAAAACGAAGTCAGCAGAGTCTGTGAGGGTTCAAAGCTTAGGGCTTAGGGGGGACATTGGGCCAGTATCTGGTGTGACCTGCATAGAGAAATTTTGGAGAGGTTTTAGCGAGCGCCAAAGGAAAATCTCCAGCACCAAAATTATCAGAATTTGGGGGGGACGCATTTCAGCTATTCTCGTAATGTGTTTTAATACCCATTTATTAAACAACTATTGAGCAAGCAGAACAGAAACTTGACGTCTTTGACTTCCAGCAGTCACCTCTACTTTCATCCACAGCTGTATTTTACACTTGCAGCAGGCGCTAATGGGAGAGATGACTCCCTGTGATTTCTCCCAATATAAAAGCCATTTGTGCTTGAAGTGTCCCGGTATTCACCGGTACTGTCACTTTTACATTTTACTCTTTGGCGTACCGGCACAGGCACTCTCCTCTGCCCTCTTCAGATTACGTTCTCTGGGCACTACGTGATGCTCACCTGTTCCCGTTCTCGCCTGCCTGCTAATCTCCGTCGTGAGATCTGTGGTCTCATGCAGCTGTGTGTTTAAAGTTGCTCGTCAAAGTCACTTTTTGTGAACCAATCAATCACATCCTGGAGGAGGCAGGACATTACAAAAAAGGTAGACTCACTACAGCAAACTTTGTTGAACGCGTTTTGTATGCACTGTTTTTATTACTGACAAGTTAATAATTTACATAAACAAATCTAACCAATATGTAAAGCATTTTCTTGCCCAATAATTTAATTACTGAAACCAATGCACAAAAATGAAAGTGCTGTTTTGTCCAGCTGGAATTAATATTAGGCTACTAATGGTCAGTCAGCTATAGAAGCCTATACTATTACCTGAAATTATAATGAAAACACCAACATTAGCACTTATCAAACCTTAACCACAGTGCTGTAGACTAATATCAGAAAATGGTTTTATTTGTGAAACAGCTGAATCTCAACTAATAAATCTATCTATCTGTAGGCAGATTATCCAAATGAAGTGTAAACTGCAAATATATTGTACTAACATTATACTTTCTATCTAATGTTATAATATTTATTATTACACTAATTTATACCTTTACTCCTCCAGTTTGTGGATACATTTTCCTTTTTTTTATCATGGTCAGAAATAACAAGAAAATGCGTTTTGGTCATAAGGTAACTCATTGCCTTTACTGTATGCATACCGTTCATGCTTATTGTTTGCGAAGTCACCCCCCAAAGGCCCATTCTGAGCCAGGCCTCACGCAGTGCAACACATCTCCTTCGCATAGAGTTGATCAGGTTGTTGATTGTGGAATGTTGGTCCACTCCTCTTCAATGGCTGTGTAAAGTTGCTGGATATCGGCAGGACCTGAAACACGCCGTCGTATACGCCCATCCAGAGCATCCCAAACATGCTCAATGGGTGACATGTCCAGTGAGTATGCTGGCCATGCAAGAACTGGGATGTTTTCAGCATGTGCAGTACCAATATAATTGATGAAAAAAATGCGCTCCTTTGGCCTGTGATGAGGCCGCCTCTCTCCGTCTGCTCGAACCCGCAGAGTGGTGAATACAATGTCCCGCCCACGGTACTGTAACAACTGCTAATTGGTTACAAGTCACGAGTCATAGCCTATCAACACTGACTGAGCCATCACGCTGCTTCCTTCCTCTCAGCAGAGCTCCACAGACACAGAGCGAAATGAGCAGAACTGGTCAGTGTAGATTAAACCAGTTAACCATAACTACACTCGTTGCTGTAAGTGCAGCAAAACCAGGGGTACTAGTAAAAGGCTGATAATGCATCAGTACAGCAAGCAGGGACATGCACCAAGCGATATTTTAATCTGCTCTGTCTCGTCCACCGCAGCTGTAGTTTAGGTTTTACATGAGCACATGTGCTAGCTTGGCTAAATAGCTAGTTTGTCATAAACATGCTAAAACGAAATCTCTGTCTGTAGCCTGTTTAGCTGAGATGCTACGTACCTTAAAATTTAGCAAATCCTTGTAAACTCAGATGCTTGTTAAGAGAAAACAGCTCCTCCCTGCCAGCAGCGGAGGAGGAGGACTGCCACGGACTGCTGTCTTCAATCTAAACTTTACTCAGCAGTGTTTCCCATACGTTCATTTATTTGTGCCGGCCCGCCATAATATCAACGCTGACCGCCACAGATTGATTTTCATTATTTTTTTTATAGCTGGTAGTCAATATCGACTGCACGCACATGCTCACTTTTGTTGCCAGCAGTTTAGACATTAATGGCTGTGTGATGTGTTATTTTGAGGGGACAGCTGCACACACACTACTTTACATTGTAGCAAAGGGTCATTTCTTCAGTGTTGTCACATGAAAAGATAAGCGTGTGATTGAAGAGAGAGAGTAGGAAATGAATAAAAGAAAAGACAAGCGAGTCAGAGGAGTGAAAAACAGAAAGGACAAAAGTAAGATGATGTGTGGCTTAGGAAGACAACGAAACTTGGTTGATGTTATTGGCTGATTTAATATTATAACAGATGTGGATTGGAACTGTGTCTTTACACTGCTGCCAACTTTTGTCTATTCTGATCTCATCATAGTAAACCAATTAATTTGACTGGAAGACTATTTTAGAATATGTGTTGGTATTTTCCAAAAGAGGATGGCACAGGGCTGCTGCTGATTCTGTTTCTGAGGATAACCTTGTAGTAAAGATAACAGGCTTTCACTTGTGTAAAGTTTTGATACACAAAGAATGCTGTGGATTTGATTATACAGTGACCAGACGTTAGTAGTGATTTCTCCTGGATTGGACACTGACTAACATTCAAATTCCATGCATCACAGCTACAGTAAATTACTGTATTATTATAGACATAAAACAATCTAACGTTGTAAAAATATCTGTTATGGCTTTGGAGAGCAGATTACTTTGTATCGGCTCTTGTTATGTGAGTTGTTGTGCAGCAGGGGGAGCCATTGTACCTAACATAGATTTCAGATTCTTTTTCTTTTGCCACATGTAGTCAATAAGAAACTAAGTACTTAAAATATAGATTTAAAATGAACATAGTTTAAATGTCTGTCAGGAATAAATATAAAGGGTCCCCAATTTTCTAAGGTCAGGTTGCAGTATAGTAGATGGTGAAAGGCAGTGTGTTGTGTTTGCTGCCACAGGAGAGAAATGTAAGGCCTGTGTGTCTGTAACTTTACTATGGCATCTAGATAGTTAGCAGCTACAAGTTAGGCTAAAGTCAACTAAAATAGCCTATATCACAGATATGTTTCAGAGCTAGAGGTACAGTAATTACAGCACTCAGATGATTTATCATTTTTTCTTCTACAGCAGCGAATAAAATCCTGTGGCTCGTAGCTGCTAACTTGCTAGCTTTTCACCATGTGGACCAAGTCTCTGAAGAGTAGAAGACACACTAGTAACCTTAAACAGGGCCTCTTAATATATTTTCTGTGGCATCAAACACAACACATAACCTTTCACTCACTATTGTACTTAGGGCTGAAATGATTCATCAGTTAAATCGATTACTAAAAAAAATTAGACTCAAATTCTTTTGTTTAATCCATACTATACTATATAGCGCACTGTATCGAACAGACCTTTATTACTGTGGCACATCGCGCTTACGCTGTGTGAACACGACGTGATTATGATGCCGCTAATTGCAAAGTTGAAGGAAGAGAGTCTGGGTTGTTCACTTACACAGCTGTTCCCATTACCAGTGGTGCCTCCGCCGCCAAGCAAAAGTACTTCTTAGACGATTCAACGATGAATCGATGAAATAATCTGTAGAAGCTTCGAGTACTAAAATCATTGATAGCTGCAGCCCTAACTGTACTGCAGTCTTAGCTTATCTACTCATTGTATGGCTAACTAAGGTAAGGAAACTACTTCTCAGCAGTAAAATTATGACTATGAGGATTGTAAACCATACTACATTTTGTTTCCTTCAGGAAATTGTACTTGGGGTATGAACTGTAGGTTCATCCATCCCGGAGTTAATGACAAAGGTAACTATTCCCTCATCACAAAACCAGACCTCTTCTCACCTAATGGAGCGCCTCCTGGAGGACCACACCCTCTCATCCCCAATAATCCCTGGGTACGTCTCCCTCTCCCACTACGTTTTGCAAAACAGTAAAGATGGTGCACAATATCTGTGTGCTTTTGAAGAAATTCTGCTGTAACATTGTTACAGTACATTATTACTTATAAATCATGAAGATTAAAACAATTGATCTGACTAAAATACTCAGCAACTGGATCTATGCCAACTGCAATTCTGACTGTGTCCCCATAGTGTGACAGTCGGAGTGTGTGTATAAATACAAAGAAACTTGTGAATTACTTTGTCACTGTTTTAGGCTGGACCTGCAGTGGAGGAGCTCCCTCCACCACCTCCTCCAGTGGAGCCTCCTGTCGAGAGTGCCTGGGAGAGAGGTCTCAGGCATGCCAAAGAGGTAAACACTTCCACGGCCTCTCATGGAAACAAAATTGAGCTGTTTGTTTAATGATACTCCAGACCTGTGTGTGTGTGTGTGTGTGTGTGTGTGTGTGTGTGTGTGTGTTGAAGCAGAGACAAAAGCGTTAGTGATTCAATAATAACACTCAGTTGCCAGTTTGTCTAAAAGTTTTAATGTTCAGTCTTTGTTTTGATACTTTTTGGAGGATGTAGTTTGGGGAGCTATTGAACTGTATTGCATTATCCAGAAAGGTGTTCAGTTATTTAGTGTACCCTCATTGATACAAATGGGATGGACAAAATAATAAAAATACCGGTCAGTATAGTCACACATTACACTGAGTCTACAGTCTCATTAAAAGCAGCAATAAGTGTTTTATTGTTTAATGTCAAGATGTTGGACCTCTCTTCACGTCATTGTAAAAAAGATTACTTTGTGGTATAGTTTCCATTTGCTGCATTTTATATCTGTGTTCTTTATCTGGTTCTTTGTTCCATAGGTTCTGAAAAAGGCCACCATCCGTAAGGAGCAGGAGCCAGACTTTGAGGAGAAGCGTTTCAATGTGACCATCGGAGAGGACGAGAGAGAATTTGACAAAGAGAATGATTTCTTCAGAGAACGCAGCTACCGCATCATCAGAGAGTATGACCTGCTCACATTGGGTTATCAGTTTAAACTAGGACACACATTATACAGTGTTATGATGCATAGCTCCATACCTGAACGTGGTCCTCGATCAATCTATCGAGAGAGAGAGAGAGAGATGATTGGGTTGAATATTAAGCTGGTTGAAGCACAAACATGGAAGCTATACTGATTAGTGCAGGCACATCTGCAGACAGCCTTGTCAGTGTTACTGCTGTGGGGTGATGTGAGTGCCCCCCTTGTGAGGTTTGGGAGTGAAAAGCATGTCTTGATGCTAGTGTTCTGTAATAAAATCTTCAAATAATTATTTGTAATAAGGGCCATGTCGAGCCTAACAAAAGATTTCACTTTCTGCTATCTATATATATATTTTTCCAAATCGTTGTCATTTATCATATAATAGTAAATTAATCATTTTTGGGTTGCACATTGTTAGTTGCAGTCTTAGTAGCTATACCAAATATGACGCAATCGTTTTTTTTGTCTTTAACACTGAAATGTTTTCCTCTTTCAGTGAAATGGACTTCAGAGATCCTATATATGGGTAAGTGGAGCGCAACTTTGTTGTCACTTTGTTGTCATTGTCACTTTTCTGTCCCTTGTCAAAACCTGAATCTTCATTAGGCCATAGTGTAGACAGATGTAGATGATGTACACTGTCCAGTGTGACTGATATTTATGCACCACTTTACTGCATAAACAGCACTATACTACATACTACTTTAAAATATACTACATCTTGCACTCTACAACACTACTTGCACCTTATAACTGTTTTACTTTACTACCAGCTCATGATTTGCATAGTGAAGCATAATGACTGCCTTCTATATTGTGCTTTAGTGTACTATTTATTTTATAGTTTTATTATGTTGTCTGTTTTTGTATTGACCTTGGACAACCTGCTGGGGACTACAGATGAAAATTAGTCTTCTGGCTAGATCTGGCATATTTACATTGACACAAGATGATATGTTCATTAATGTGCACTGTCCCTTTTAAATAAATAAAAATAATAAGTGCCAAAAAAAAAAGGAGAAAAGGCCATGTTTTTCTTTATGAAAAACTGTCAGCCTTTCAGATTTGAACAGCGGAAATATATTTTTAAAGCATGTGTACACATTTCTGGATCAATTTCTCAAATGTGCTTCCCTCTGCAGTGACCCATATGCTGATCCATACTATGACTATGAAATGGAGGCCCTATGGCGAGGTGGCCAGTATGAAAACTTCAGAGTGCAGTACACAGAAGCTCCCCTTCCGTACTACAGTGTGAGTTTCCTCCACAGTCATCGTATTTTTCTCTGTAATGTAAAAGGTTGTATCACCAAAGTGAGTCCTTCACCTTGAACAACTCAAAACGAAACAAAAACAACAAGTCCCTTATCTCAGCACTGGGCCAAGCTTGATTTACCCCCGTGTCACTAGTTTTGGTTTGTTTAGGACGAAGGAGCGAAAATGTGAGGGCTGAACCAGTCATGGCTGAACTGCCTACTCAACTAGCTTAAAATGACTTTTGTGTAGTTTACCAGTGCCTGATGAAGAACATGCTTTTGTGTGAAGCATCACATGAAAACATGAAGGAGTGGCCAGGCACAGGATAGCTTAACAAAGGTCAAAAAAATGGTTTAAAGTTAATTATCCTAGGGTCTGTTGGTTGATTTACTCAAAAAAAAAAAACATTGTGCATTGTAATTAACTTCAGTGTATTTGTGTCGCTGTGTCATGGGTAGGCCCAAAGCACGCCCACCCTATCAATAGTAACGGGAGGGATTTTTTCCCTGCCCTTGGAGAACTGGCCTCTACCCAAACTACTGCAAAAGTTCCAATTGATATATACTTGGCAAAAGCAAGAAATAGCCAGTAATGGTCAGAGGATTTTTTTTTGTTGTCATTTTTTAAATTCAAATTTTATGTGAAAACATTTTTGTTATTCAACATAAAAGCTCAAAACAATATTTTGGCAAAAGCCATTACTGGCTATTTAGTTATTAATCTCAATAAAGCAAGAAAAAAGTTTTGACTTTAGTTATTGGAGCATAAAAATGGTTTCCACGTATATGAAACGTGTATATTTGACAATAAATCAGCTGATTTGTATTAGAGCCTTATATAATTACAGATCTAAACATATCCGTGGCTTTAACAGCCGAGAAATGACAAATAAAAAAAGAAACATAGTATAGTTTGTCCACTAGAGGACACTCTGCAACCCCCTTGTTGGCAACACAGGCTTTGAACTCTACAAATCCACCACAGACCACAGCAATCATCTGAACCTTTTTTCCATAGTACTATTTCTTACAATAAAAAAAGTTCATTTTTCAGCTGCATTGTGTCTTGTTATCTTGATGAGGTCTGATAACTACACATAGCAAATGTTAGTCTTGTTTATGGAAAAACCCTGAAAAAAGAATATCAGACAATATATAGGAATATTGGATATTATATATATTATTGGATTTAAAATATGTCTTAAAAATCCCATATTGGTCAGACTCTAATTTGTATAATACAATGATAAAAATAAATTAAATGTGATAATACAAAAAAGTTATGTTTTGGGTCTATATTAATCTGGCAAACTTTCATCCTGATGGAATAAAAGGATTTTCTCCCTATTCCTGGGCGGTGCCTGGCTTTACATTTCTATTAATTTCTATCAAATTAAGGTAAACCTTTCATATCTTGTGAATAGTACTGTGCTGGGTTAGACTGGTATATGTGAATATCTCTGTGAATTATAGGCCCTAAATTTGTCCTTGGAAAGTTCATAAAATGTATCATTACAAAAAGAGTGGCAAACCGTCTTTAAAAGACATTTTTTATGTATAGCTGTCATTCTTGGACAAGGTTCCTTTCCTTTCCTGTAGCTCAAAGGCCAACTGAAATAATATCTCAAATTTTCTTATTCTCTACCAATTCCATGAAAAGTCCCAAACCAACAATAAATTGATCTTACTAACATAGTATACAACAAGTGCGTATCCTAAGTAAGCTTGATATGTTATTCCTCTCTGCCATAGATTTCAGTTAATGTCCAGTAACTATTAGAAACGCATCACAAGGTCTATTTTTTATTCTTTATTTATTCATTTTTTGAAAAATGTAGAGTTGTGCCACTTGGTTTTGTGTGAGGGCCATCGCAGCAAATTTGCAAGAAAACCTAACATGTCCATCTTGACAGGAGCGTGAACGCGATCACGACCCTCGGGAGCGTCACCGGGACCGAGAGAGGGAGAGAGATCACCGCGAGAGGGAGCGCCGGCAGAGAGAGAGGGAGAGGGAAAGGGAGCGGGAGCGAGAGAAGGAGAGGATGAGGCGAAAAGAAGAGTGGGAGCGGGACCGCATGAAGAGGGACGAGAAGGAGAGGCCGAGGATGCGTCCTCCTCGAGACACCAGGGAGAAGAAAGAAGAGGACAAACTGAAACCACGCTCTCCCCTCAGCCTACCACCAAAGTAAGTGACATTTTAATTGGTTTTAGGTTAATTGTGTTATTTAGCAGAAATGTTTGATTTCTTGAAACACTAGAAAAGAACCAAGACAGTCATTAGGATTTGTGGATTAAGTGACACAGTTGTACTTATTGGTTGTGGCTGACACACACAGGCATGCATCACTACTAGAGCCCGACTCATACTGGATTTTTGAGACCTATACTGATATTTTGGTCTTACAGCTTCACTCCAGCATTTTTGAAATAGCACTTTTACAAGATGACACCCTCTGCATGTCTTTATTTTTAGTTTTTGAAGTTTCATAGTCAGGAACAATGGAAAGAGTCTTCCTGGCAAACAGTGACCTAAAGCAATGACTGGTGAGCGTCGGAGTACATGATTTGATTGTCATGGAACTGTGACTTTCATGTTATGATCCATTATCGAAAGCATAATTATTTAACTGCCACTTTAATATTTCACAAATGAATATGAGATAAAACCAAACATTTTTATTTACATATAGGTACATTTTATCAGTAGCTTCGGCTTTACATAATGTATGATAGCTTGACCTGATAAAACTATGATGTGCAAGAATGGGGAATTTGCACATTAGCGAAGTTTGATTTGCAGAGAAATCTGTGTTACAGTTCCACTTCCCTTTCTTACCGTGGTTTCTGTTGACTGGTATTTGCTTACTTATTGATAAAATCTGTGTAGCACTAAATATGACGTGCGTCATTTGAGACGTAGGATAATTAAATGATATGCATCGGAGGTTTTCTTTTAACACACAGCTGATGAGCTGTTTTTGTTACCGTGTGGTAGCCCAGTAATATAAGTATGTCACCTCATGACATTGTTAAGCATTGTTTGAGACTGAGAAGATGACCATAAATACTACTATAATAAATATTTTGTAAAACAGTTTGATTATGCTGGCAATGTGTCAAATCTCCCCCTGTTTTTGAAGCATTTAAAAAAATGAATACTTTTATAAAATTTAAGTGGGGGTGTGATGAGACACCTAAGTTACGAGACAAGACACAGTATTGGGTTCACAGCATCAAGTAGAGATGAGATTTAACAATATGTTTTAACAATGCCAAATTATGTGAAAAGTTTGAACATTAAACACTTACTTTACTGCATTCTTGCAAGTTTTCTGCTTTTCCCGCATCAGTTTACGGTGGAAATGTGTTTATTTATGGAAATGCAAAATTCATGTGGCAGTTGGCAATTCAGAATATAATGTTATCTAATGCAGTGCAGCTCTCAGGCATTCTGTGTTGCTTTCAGATATGTTTCTCCTGTAGATCAGCTTTTATTTCACGCGATGTGCCGATTGTTTAGACATCTGTGGATAAGCAGGCATTTCAGTCATATTTAATAGATAGAAGCAAAACAGCAGAAGAAAGATAAATGCATCAGAAGTTCTGGCAGTGACTTCAGCGACTATGGTAATAAGGTAATGTTGACCTGCACACAACAGAGACATGGTTTCCCTAATCATTCAAAATCAATGCAGAACAAATGATTTTCACCCGCACGCTGTGTGAGCACAGTAAGTCACGGTTTTAACTGCAGAGCAATGTGTGTGCATAGCGAGTGAGTGGATGGGCGAACGTGAGAGGGTGAGCAGCAGAAGGTGACGCTGAAAGCGAGCAAGTAATAAGTTGGCAGTCTGGCAGTAAATGTAAAGTGTAGTTCAGTTAATAAAGTGTCGTTTCCACAACTGCTGGAAAGTGAAGGTGGTCTCCCTGTGCCTCAGACTCTGGTCTAAAGGCTGAGCAGGACGGGACGGGTCGGAGTCACTCGACTACACTCACGGTAGGATGTTTCAGGGGGGAAGTAGCATAAACACAAACACAATAGTAACAGGATTAAATAACCAAACTAATCAACATGGGGAAAATGATGTCGGTTAGAGGCTTTTTGGTTTTGATTACTCTTCAATTGACCGTCCAGCCCTAAGCACAAGGCTCTTTCTTCCTCCCTGGAAGTTTGCAGAGTCTTCCCTGGTGCTCTGTGGTGACTGCGACACAGCGTCACTAGAGCTGGAGGCGGGACCAAATTTGACGGAGTAATTCCTCTATGCAGGACAAATGCTGCAATTCAGGGAAAACCCGTTAGTGTCAGCAACTGCAAACCAACACCCATATTTTGTTATTGTGTGCAATGATGATTGACGTGATGTTCTTGCACAATATTACCTGCCAGAGGAGAAGTGGAGAAGTGGAACATTGTCTGAACACACGTTTCCCGATGAGCTACACTTGAGCATGGATGAAGAAGAACTTGTTGGAAACTACCTGCAGTATCTACTGATACAATGCAGAAAGTTAGAATTCTCTGTTGAAGATTTTGAAAGGGTAGTGGTGTCCAGTGAAATAAAAGATTTAAAAAACTGATGCAGGTAGTACAAATGACCACAATAGCTCAACTTTAACCTCTTCTTTTGGAATATTTCTTATTTATTCACTTTATGATCTGCAGTAATACAAATGTTCAATGTTACTGCGACTGCAGCAGTCACTTCTGTACATGAGTAGAACTGTATGTGTATTCACAGTGAAATTAGATTTTTTGATTTGTGCAACTCTTAGTCGATCAACTTTGGGTTGCCAGACGATTGAATTCACCAAAACCTCCGGTTAATTTAAAGAGAGTATATAGTTATTGTAGTTAATATTAAATTAAGTTTACTATACCCAAACCTCAGAAGCATGCCTGTAATTTGGAACAGCCCTCCCGTTTTGCAAATATGATTAAGTCTCTGTTGCTCTGAGTTTCCCTTCACTAACAGAAAAACTGTGTTTCCACTTCGTCAGAGTCAGTAGGTCTTAACAAGTCTTAATATGTATTTAAATTAGATTTAAGACTGTAAAGTTGACATTTCACTACAGGTTAATGGAAGACATTTGCTTCAACTGGTTTTGGTCGTAACTTGCTGAAGAATGTATTCAACCTAATGCATTTTTTATTTGGATTTTTTAACACTTTCTTTTTATTTAAACAAACAAACAGTAGGTCCACGCAAAGTTCAACTTCAGCTTGTGCAGTTAACTGAGCCTCCTCCCACCAGACCTGCTCATGTTTCTCCTGAAGGCTGCCCAGGCTTATTCATTAAACCTACAAAGGTCAACAACACTCTATTAATCGTTGTTGTACTCTGAAGGCCTTATGGGTTTATATGCCCCACTTCCTTTTTTTAAATTCCTTCCTCAAAGGTATCGTTCTGTTGATAGGAAAAATTGTTTAAAGAGCTAAAAATAGCTCTTGTGTTGTTGTTCTATTATGCGCTACTTATTGCTCACATGTAGCTCAAAATAGAACACTATGTTCTTGCATCACTATGGACTTTCACATTCACTGGACCTTTTGTACTTGCACTATGTATGTAACACTGCGCCCAGATAATTATGTCATTCCAAGTATGTGCGCCTGTCTAGATTTATGTTGGTGATAATTAAAATTATCTTTGGTACATGCAATATTATGCTTAAAACAGGTTGTGCAAGGTCCAAAGGCCCTTTCTGTATTAATTTAAACAAAACATACTCTCACTAGTTAAAATGCTTAACCACGTCCTTCAACAGGGTCCACAGTCACACAGTTGGGACTCCTTCAAGCTTTCATTCAAAGACTGTTTTATTCACAGTGGGAATATTCACTCATCTTCTTAAGTTCCTCCAACAAATATATATAATGGGTACCTTTTTTAATTCTAAAAGCACAACAAGGACTAAGTGGTAGGCCTTAACACTAGAACAGCCATTGGGTCAAATTTTCCTAAAAGTGTGTTATGTAGCACCCCCTATTGTTGTAAACATACATAAAAGCTGCTGCTTATAGCTTTTGTGTATACATGATCATCAAAACTAATGCTGCAGTAGCCTAGTTTTTCTCTGTGTTCTGCGGTCCCTTCAAGAGAGCGTGCGGCTCCCTCGTGTGCTTTTTGACCAGCTATAATTTTTCCAATGCTGTGTATTTAGTAAAAGTGATCATTATATATTTTTCCGTTGGGTAAAAATCTACTATGAATTTTGGAATTGATGATAATCGTTTCTTTCGAATAAATAGCCCTACTTTTATTTGAACTTTCAAACTTTTGTAGCTCTGTGTTATTCTCCGGATGCCCGATGAAGTCTGAAAAAAAAAAAAGCAAAACAGAAGCTGTGTTTAGAATATAACTTGGTTATAACATCTATAACAGCGACGAGTGGATGACATCAAAGGAGACGCCGCGCGTGAACATGCCCTTCACAGATGCGCGGTGCAAAGTGATCGACCTGCACGGTGAAGGCAAAATGAACAGATTAGAATAAACATTCGGTAAATGCCTGAAATGTGATGGTGTTTATAGGAAATGCACAGCTAAGGTGATTTCTCCAGAATCGCTTTCTCCAACTTTATGATGCAGAGAAATTTACAAAAAATTTGCTATATTAGAATATATATATCGTTATCATATCGCATAGCCCTAACGTTATCTGGAGGAAATTGTTCGAGCGGGTCAGGGGGAGAGAAAAGTCACAGGCCGCATCAAAAATCAAAAGAAAAAAAAAAAGCACTTTGGACAACGCAGGGCTCTACAGTGCGACAAATTCAGTTGCATATGCTCCTAAATATAGATACAAGCAAAAAGTAAAAATGTTTTAACAAAACATTTATTTACATTTATTCATCGGATAATTCACAATCACTCGAAATTAATAGGGGGGAGGGCTGCGTAGAAACAACGGTTTATGCTTCTCTATCTCCCTCCCTCCTGTCTGTGGATTACAGCTACAATGGGGAAAAACAGAATTAGGTCCAAAAGTTCTCTTTACAACCACAAAAAGCAAACATTGACAATGTAATATGGGAAATAACGCAAATGATGTTGGGGGCTTTTTTGATCTGATTATTGCTGCATATACTTTTATAATGAAATAAATGCATTTCATAAACCTTTTAAATCAACTCTTCTTTATCAGAAGTTTATAAATGTAGGCTATATGACAGTTCATAATGTATTTTTGTTGGTCTGGGTCCCATGGACTTGGACTTGCTGAAAAAGGTTGGTGTGTTATGAAATGATTGTTATGGAATGTTTTCTTAATATGGACATATGTTATGAAAATATGAACATGTTAAAATGTATAGATAGCATCCTTAATCCGAACCAGTTGACACCGTGAGGCACTAAGAAATTCCCTGATGAAATGTTCATCATGAATGCATATAGTTTGGGAAATGACTTAGAGTTTCTGTGTGTGGTTTCACGTTAGTCATTGGTGTGTCATGATCTTATAGTAATCTATAAATATGTGGACGAATTTAGCACAGACGCACAGCTATATTTGCACAGTTGTTTGACTTAAAACACTGTCCAACCTTTGAGTGACCTTTGAATTTCATCTCAGCCCCCTGTCTGTATACATATTAGATGTGATGTCATTGATGGGGAAATTAGGCAACTGCCGCAGACTTAAGCTGGTTAACGGTTGTAATCTTTACTCATTACCAATGATGGCAACATTTCCCTGCAACGCTGTTCAAAAATTTGCCCCGTGAATCATCAGCTTTACAGTGCCTTCCTAAAGTATGGGGGGGGACACTCTCAACAGCCACTTTATTAGGTACACCTGTCAATTGCTTGGTAACACAAATAGCTAATCAATCAATCACATGGCAGCAACTCAATGCATTTAGGCATGTAGACGTGGTCAAGACAACTTGCTGAAGTTCAAACTGAGCATCAGAATGGGGAAGAAAGGGGAGTGAAGTGACTTTTAACGTGGCATGGTTGTTGGTGCCAGACGGGTACCACTATTTCAGAAACTGCTGATCTCCTGAGATGTTCACGCACAACCATCTCTAGGGTTTACAGAGAAGGGTCTGAAAAAGAGAAAATATCCAGCGAGCGGCAGTTTTGTGGGCGAAAATTCCTTGTTGATGTCAAAGGAGAATGGGCAGACTGGTTGGAGATGTCAGAATCAGTTTTATTGCCAGGTACATTTTCACATACGAGGAATTAGCCTTGGTATAAATTGGTGCTTACAGTAAATACGAACATAAATATAAATTAATATATAAAATGTAAGGAGATCAAAAATCTACAAGTATACCAAAATTACCATTATACTATAATACAATGCTGAAAAGTGTGTGCAAAAAATCACAACATGCGCATGAAGCACAGTTGAGCATTATTGTAAAACGCAGAAAGGCAACAGTAACTCAAATAATCACTCATTATAACCAAGGTATGCAGAACACCATCTCTGAACGCACAACACGTTGAACCTTGAAGCAGGTAGACTACAGCAGCAGAAGACCACGCCAGGTGCCACTCCTGTCAGCTAAGAACAGGAAACTGAGGGTGCTCCTCAAGTCTCTGAATTGCATCCACATTTCCCTCACTTGCGTCTTTTCCTTGCGTCTTTGTCCCGCCCACCGGGGATGCATGGAGAGACACAAGGAAACCAAGCCAGGAGAGAAGGGACGAGGAAATATGTTTGTAGGGACATGAGACGTCCTTTGCTCCGAAGCGTCACTAAAGTGACGTCTGTTTCTGATGACGGCGGCAGCTGATCACAGCTGGATCAGCTGTCAGTCGGCTCTAACAGTTGTAGAGACTTGATGGAGTTTGTGTCTACGTACATGTGCACTGTGGTACTAATAAAGTCGCACAGTTATCAGTGCAGAGCAGAATGATTCTGTTACCTGTTTTTTTTTTTTTTTTTTTTTTAGCGCAGCATCTTTTATTCATCATTTCATAAGCTGATTTTACTCGCGGAGCCACTGACTGCTTTCATCAGATGCTTTGCTCGCTTCATTAGATACTTTGGTGCAGTTTAGTGACTTGTCCGACTCCTTATGTGTGCTATGTTTTATTTTCGTCTATTTGGACTAAACACAGGAATCAGCAGCCTCACATGTGACTGAATAGAAATGACGATAAATTATGTACATGTTTTTTGCTGACAGACTCTCTGACTTTAATTGTCTCCATAATAAAAGTTGATTGAAGAAATAATAGAAAGATTTTTCTAATAAATAAATAAAGTTGTGTGTGGGGCCTTTGTTGTTCAGACCTACAATGAACACAGATTTTAACAAGACAGTGAATCATAAAACAACTCAAATAAAGGCTTTGCAGTGATACACTTGAGTTTAATCTGTCCTGATGTGTCAGATCAGTCCAATCAATATAACTGCTACACAGTAAGGGGGCGTGTCGGTCATTAAAAGATTTCCGCGAAGGATGCACTGGTGTATCCTCGCTCATAGCTCCTCGGAGCGCAAATAAGAGCTTTGGGACAGCCTGCAAGATGGCGGAGTGAAACAACTTCTGGTTCAAGGATTGATGAGCGAAGAAACGACAAATAAGACTTGAGAAGCACCCAGTGGCCAATTCATCTTCATCTTCCAATAGAAGATTGGAAAAACGTTGCCTGGTCTGATGAGTCTCGATTTCAGTTAAGTCATTCAGATGGTCGAGTCAGAGTTCGGCGTAAACAGCATGAAAGCATGGATCCATCCTGCACCCACCCCGTGTGCGTGTGCGCGCGCGCGTACATACATACAAGTGGTGGTGATGGCGCAATAGATAAGACTATGCCTTTGTAGTGAGAGACCTGGGTTCAATCCCCCTCTGTGGCCCATTGTGTCACTGAGCAAGACACTTAACCCTTTGTTGCTCCAGAGGTGTGCGACCACTGGCATATACAGCAATTGTAAGTCGCTTTGGATAAAAGCGTCAGCTAAATGAATAAATGTAAATATGTACGTATGTATGTACGTACAGTGGGGAGAACAAGTATTTGAGTCTGTAATAAAATGGATTTTTGTTTTAGATTCCGTGTCTCACAGTTGAAGTGTACCTATGATAAAAATTACAGACCTCCTGCAAAATCAGCAGTGTATCAAATACTTGTTCTCCCTACTGTGTGTGTGGGTGCGTATATATGTATAGTGAGGAGAGATTTGGACAATGACACAAGTTATTTTGGCTGTTTACCAAAACATTCATGTTACACTTGCTGAAGACAAAACTTAAGGCAGAAAGACCCTCAAATATGCAACAACTAAAGACGGCTGCAGTGCCCCTCAAAGCACCACGAAGGAGGAAACCCAGTGTTTGGTAATGTCCATGGGTTCCAGACTTCAAGCAGTCATTCCCTGCAAAGTATTCTCAACAACATTTTCATGTATTTTTGTTCAACCCATTGAATTAAAGCTGAAAGTCTGCACTTTCAGCAATTGCATTTTGTTGTTTCAGTTCAGATCCATTGTATTGAAATACAGAGCCAAAATCGTGACATTTGTAACTATGCTGATTAGCTGTTTGCTTCTCTAAAATGTTGTACACAAAGTCTGGTGAAAGTGTATAAAACCTTTAGAAGAACTCAAGGGTTTATTTTTAATGAAAGAGTGAATAGAATTCCCAGTAGGCTTCAAATATGAGGAGTTCTACTCAATTAGCAAGCAAAGTTGCAGCATATACATCTGATTTTCAAGGTGTTTACGAGTGGGCGAGGAAAGCGAATGAAGAACGAGAAAGAAAGACAAAGAAAATCAGTGTGCTGGCTCTTCAGACGCAGTTGCCTAAAAGAAGTATACATGTGAATACAAGCGTCTTGTAAAATTGTATGCAATGGCACAAAAAGTACTCGGGGGTACATCCAGTTTATTCAAAATGAGATGAAATGAGGATGTTAGAATGGTAATGGTGTTTGCTTTTACACTGCACCTTGTTTCTAACCAGTCATTAATCATCTTTTTAGCAGACCGATGGAGCCTCCGTCAAAGAAGGAGGTTGTTCCAGTCATGAGGCGACCTGATGAGTGGAAGGACCCGTGGCGTCGGTCTAAATCCCCCAGGAGACGCCCCGGGCTGGGCTCCCCACCACGAGGCCGCCGGCGACACCGGCCCTCGGGCTCCTCCGTCTCTTTGTCAAACTCCTCCAGGTAGGAACCCTTTTCTTCAAGTCAGGACATCCTGTGTCGTAGTGTTGGCGAAAGAAGCTTGAAAAACAAGCAGCCTTTTATTTATTAATTTACGGCTCCAGGCATTCAACTTCTAGATCTGCCAATGACCGCGAGCGGGATATGTCTGACTCATACCTCACCGCTAAACCACGCTCTGAATACACAGCTGGCCAATCAGCACAGTATATACTCACTCTAACTGATGGCTGCTTTTTTCTAAGATATGGTCAAAAGCTGTTCCTGGGGCATCTTGTAATAGTTAGTTGTTTCCCAGAGAGGTTGACAGGAGAAGTAAAATTTATTGTCTTTCCAAAACCTAAAATAAATCCAGAAAAATGTTGGCTGTGGGTTGTTCCTAATGTGATGTTAGTTAGCTTACGCTAGCTAACTTACTACTGAATGTAACGTTATAAAGCACGACTCGTTGTCTTTTGTCTCAATGGTCGGGGGATGCGGTGGTTCACTTGTGCTGTGTGATCGGTAAGCTTTAGCTTTTATCTTTTTTCACGTCAGTTTGACAGCCTGAATACAACCTTCAAATGTCTGAGATCGCTTTTTCCAACAAATTTGAAAATATTTCTCAGATGTTATAAAATAGATTTATTGATGGCCTACGTCTAAAGTCAATAATGAGTTCCTGGGTTTTGGCTGTGTTGAGCTGGAGGTCATTGTTCGAACACCTCCATGCGGTACTGTGTTCCATAATTGTTTGTGATGAGGCCCACAGTGGTTGTGTCGTCCGCATACTTTATTGTCTTTACTGAAGTGTCTGTGGATGCAAAGTGTGCGTTGTAAAGGGAGAAGAGCCAAGGGGAGAGAACACAGCCCTGAGGAGCCCCTGTACTGAGGGTGAGAGGGTGTGAGCTTATGTTATTAACCTTCACCCTCTGTGATCTTTTCCACAGGAAGCTCCTTATCCAGTGGCGTATGGCTGGGTCAATGTTCATGTCCAAGAATGTGGTAAAGAGTTTAAATGGGTTAATAGTGTTAAATGCAGAACTGAAGTCTATGAACAGAATGCATGTATAGGTGTTTGGTGATTCCAGGTGTTGCAAGGTATGGTGGAGTACTATGCTGATTGCATCCTCAACGGAACGGTTGGCTTAGTAGGCGAATTGATACCGGTCCATCGGTGAGGAAGTGAAGGATTTCAAGTATGCCAGAATAATTCGTTCAAACGCTTTCATTACCACAGATGTTAGGGCAACTGGTCTAAAGTCATTGAGGCAGGTGATCTCTGAGGACTTTGGCACAGGAATGATGATGGAGCATGGAGCATTTAAAGTACTGTGGGACTGTACATTGCTTAATGAGATGTTAAATATGGTGGAAAATAGTGGCGCCAATTGAGCTGCATAATGCCTAAGCAAAGCAGGACTGATCCCATCCGGCCCTGCTGCTTTCCTGATCTTAAGCCTCCGAAATGAAGCTGTCACCTCTTCCTCCTGGATGTAGAAGAGTGGTGTTGGAGTGGGTTCGGGGGTGATGACTGGTGAGGTTATTTAATTTGTCTGGGAGGCTTGGATCGTTATTAAGAGGGGAGATGGGGTGTTTTTTGTATTCTGTCAAGTCCTTAAGATTTTTCCATATTGATCTTGAGCTGCTTGATGAGAATTGTTGCTCCATTTTAGTTCCATAGCTGTGCTTTGCTCTCCTTATTGCAGCTCGTACTTTATATTTGGCCGCTCTGTATTGACTCTTGTCTCCATTTTTGTACTCCCAGTCCTTTTCTTTGCATAAGAGATGTAAGTCTTTGGAGAACCATGGTTTTTTATTGCCATAGAATGTCACCGTTTTGGTGGGGATGCACATATCCTCGCAGAACTTGACGTATGACATCACAGTATCAGTGAGTTCATCGAGGGAGTCACAAGCTGCACTGAATATGTCCCAATCAATGCATTCGAAACACCCTTGGAGTGTTCCAATCGCCAATAGGAACAACCCTCCTTTTAAGAACAACATACTCCATACACGGCTACAAGCTGCAATCATTTTTGGAGACAGTGCTACTGAATTTTAAAACAAGGAGCACCAGTGCAAATACATACATATACAGTGTATGCGTGTAAACGTGCAGTTGTTTTAGGCAGGAAAAGAGAGGAGCACGAGAGGAGGAGGCATCCCCAGTCACAACAGAAACGTTTGGGACATTCTGAGTTCTTGTGTTTTTCCCTCACAGGAGTGTGTTTAAGCACAGGAAGACAAAACATCCTTTTGATTCTTCCGTATAAAAAAGAAAAAAAATTTTTGTTGTTGTTTCTGCCAAATCAGTAGCCACTCGAGCTCAGCTGTCATTTATCAAACTTTATATAACATAGATTTGGTATACCAGAATGCATTTGGTGTACAGTGATATTTGTACAGTTCAAAGAACAACAGCCACAGACTTGTTACTGGAAGCTGGTGCTCATGGTGGTGTTCTACGAGTCCAACAGGTTTTTGCCATTCGTTTTACTTAAGTCAGTTTTTAGAATCCCTTATCTCTTCTGATCAAAACTTGATATCTCACTGCCACGTAAAGGTGTAGGCTGGCATTCTCATCACTGGTGCCTCAGGCTTTGTAGTCTGTTTTGTAAAACATACACAAAAGCCTTTGTTCCCAGAACATATGAAATACTTCTTTTACGACCCCTTTCACCTGAGTGTTGTATTTTCGATAATAGTAGTATCGAATTGAATATGTGAAATTAAATAAAGTTTAGTTGAATGCAATTATCCTGTGGATTCATGGTCGTGCACACAATCATGTGACAGGTCGGAGTGATTGCATTTCTCTAGTACTGGAGATTTTGAGGTCATCTGATGTAATTGGAGAAATATTGGTCTTCAACTGACAGATTGCACACATTCCCAGACCAACCCCTTTCGGCAGAACGGCAGTGTTCGACTACTCTTAATATGTTCTTTAATTTTTACTTCATGTGCTGTGTGTGTTACAGGTCTTCATCTCGCTCTTCATCCTACACAGGCTCTGGGTCGTCTCATTCCCGCAGCCGCTCTTCCTCATTCAGCTCCTACTCTAGCCACTCCTCCCAGCGGAGCTCCTTCAGTGGAAGCCGCTCTAGGTAATCAAGAGAGAGTTGTCTGCATGTATCTCTGTGTGTGTATATCACTACACCTACCGGAATTTGCACCAACGGGAACAAAAACATTTACCAGTTACACCTGCATGACATTTGAACACCTCCACAGAGCACACTACAAGTATTAGTGAGCTTTAGGCTTGTTGCAATTGTTTCATCTTAAAAGCCTTCCAGAGGCTCAAAGGGCCTAATGCCTTCTCTTCCTTGTAGGCTTTTAATTTGACACAGCAGAGGATGTATTGAGTTTCACTGACGTTAACTTAACAGCACTTAAAAAAAAAACCTATTACCGAGATGAAGTAATTGTCTATGATGAGTGAATGGAAACCGTTTTTGTAAAAAAATTGAAACAAGGAGCTGTGGAGTATGACTCCGTTGTACTGATAGAATCCATAACATAGAGATGTTATGCAGAACAATCCACCTCAATAAGTTAGACCTAGTTTTCATCAGTGACTAGCCTTTGTTTGTGTTGTGTTAATAATAATGCTAAATTGTGCTATGCCTGACTATTAACACATTGATGGTCCAGCTACACTATGTAGTATTTAAATAGGAGGATGTGTAAATAATATTAATATATCAGCTCTCAGAAAAAAACAACCATCTAATGCTACTTTGCAATTTGGAGTTTGACAACAAATCCCAGGATTGCTCTAATGTTTTGAATTTTTAAACAATACTAGCATTATCTATAGGACTGTCAAGCCACTTAAAGCAACTATAATCAACTATAACCAATGATGTTAGTGTTATGTGCTCAGCCCCAAACAGACAGACACAGTTAGTGACTTGCTGGTGAACATTGTAAAGCATTTAGCAGCTAAATAGCTAGATGTTTCCCCATGAGTTGGTAGAGACCGAACAGGATTTTATGTTAACGTGGTGGCCTGAAACACGACTCCAAATGATTCATAATGCTGCTCCCTAACTGTGTAAATAAACAAGTATTTGCTAACCAGGTTGCCATATGAACTTAAAAAGTTATGTGTCAATTTTGTGTTGACAACTTGTTTCCGCTGCCACCAAGAAGCATTTCAAAGCATACTTTCTGAGATCTGTAATCCTTTGAAATACAAGTTGTAGACAACAACATCACTAGGCAAAAACATTAAACTCTTCTGTTTTCTTGAGTCAGCAACTACACACATGAGCTCTATTTCCTTGATGGCAGATCAAAGCACAACTTTTGTTGTTGGTACTTGTGTGATGTAATATTATCTTAAATTAAGCTGCTTAATGACTCTTTTATGACTACTTTTGATTTATAGGTCTCGGTCATTCTCCACAACTCCCTCACCGAGTCCAGCACAAAGGATTGCTAAGAACAAACCAGACCTTCCTCCTGCATTACCTAAAGGGTAAATGTCAAGTACTTAAATCCATTTAATCCATATTTAGCAATGCTTTTATTATCTTTTCCCATCTTAGTTTGTCCTAAAGTACATATTCTTATTAGCATTAGTGTTCCACTCTTCTTTTTATGATAGTACATGTACTCAAATTTTCAGAACAAGGCACTTTTGAGGTCTGTTGTTTGGGCTTGCTTCAGCTAGGCCTGTCGCAATTAGAACATGATCGTCTGATCATGATTATTTGAGCTAACAGCGATTTATTTTTGCCAGTGGTGTGATGAGACCTCGCAACATTAAAATGTGACGATCTTTCTCGTCGGGGTGAAAGCTGTCACGCGATATCAGCATGAGTGTAGGGTGAAATTAGAGTAGAAGATGCCACGGTTTGTGTGGTAGCATTTTAGGTGCCCAGGAGAAACAATAAACGGCAACAGAGTGACTAATTTTGCGATATCATTAGTTATCTTACAAACTTGTTTCCATCGCCAATTTGTCCCAACAAATCTTTAAGGACAAAGAAAGAGTACGGTCTAGACCTGCTCTTTTATGAAAAGCGCTCTGAGATAACTGTTGTTGTGATTTGGCACGATATAAATAAAATTGAATTGAACATAAACCCCAAGCAGATGTCACACACACTTTTTTACCGCTATTGTGGAAGTCTTGTTGAGTTTTGTCACTTCATCCAATTTTTCTAATTGGCTCATTTGCAAAGAAATGTTTGAATAGAAACATGTTTTTGTGTTTCTCTGTTGAATATTAACTCTTAAACTTTTAAAATAAAATAGTGTCCTTTTTACATTAATTATAATAAGCTTTTTGAAATGAATATGTGCAGCAGAGCGAGAGGTGAAACGTTGTGTCTGAACATGCACAAGCCATTTGGAGATAATTGACACTCCTTTGTCAACGATGAATGATTGATGGGAAATTTAAATTAACAACATGGATTTAGGCCTAATATGTCATGATTGTTACAGCTCTAGCCCCAGTATCACATTGCATCATTCCTGATTACTGATAATGTTACTGTTATTATTTATCAATGTGCTCTGCTGGCATACTAGTTGCTAGCACATGCCTGCTCATCGTTGTCTGCATGCTCAACAAAACAAGAAGTGCCTTTTCCTTCCCTAAGCATGCCGCTGAAGCCGGGTGCCATGCCCCCTCCTCGCAGGGACAAGCCTCCCATGAAGAAAGCTCCCAGTCCTCCGCCACCTGGTGGACTGCAGGGCAGGCCTTCCAAACCCATGCCAGAGGTAGGGAAGCCTCCCGCCAATCCCCGGGAGCCTGGAGCTGCAGGCGGCGGAGTAGGTGGCGGTGGAGCGGGGAGACCACTGCCACCACGGGAACCTGGAAAACCTCCCACTCCAAGGGAAGATAGGCGGAAAGAACGGCTGCAGCGTCCTCCTCGGAGGTTGGTATCTCGTCTTCAAGCTCTGTTCATTTTGTCAAAACAGCCATACAATACATTTCACAAAACAAAAACTATAAGGTACATGCCTGGAGTGGAACCAATCTTCGTTCATGAATCTATCTTTAAGTTTTACTTTTTCACAAAAATATTGTTAGTTTTAGATGAGATTCTGATTTTTCTGCTTGTAGAACTTGCTCAAAAAGTCCTGAAACTTTGCACCCATGGTTGAACTGAAAACGCAATTTTAGTAGGGAATTTTTTTTTTTTTTTTTTGGGGCATTTACCTCTGGTGCAAAAAATACTAATGTCGCTCCCCCGAGGCGTGTGTGGATGTGAGGGCCTGTTCAATGCTTTAATTCATGTTGTCCTTGCAGACCTGTGTGTTCTGTGTAAACAGGCACACCAAACAAAATGTGATTATGGTAGGTTTTTTAATTTAAGTTAGTAGTATAAAAATGGATTGCCACAGCATCATTGAACTCTTGCATATATGTGTTTTCACTGTGTCTTGTCACTCTGAATTGACAAACTGCTAATTATTCCTTACCATGTTGTGTGAGCACAGCACAGGTATACAAAAAAACTGTCTGGATGCTGTGCTATTAGTCTCAGGTGTGTGTGTGGGTGCGCGTATGTGGGTGGAAGAATGTTACCCTGTGTGCATGTTTGTTTATTGGACTCTCATTTGGAAGGAAGTGTGTCAACAGTAGTTGTTACACATTTGCAATAAGCAGAACTGTGTTCCCTATCACATTAACATTTGTGTGTGGCATTAAGTGATACTGCGGGTGTATCCCACAGCTGTGCATTTTGGGGGAACACCATAGAGTGTGTGTGGGTGGGTATGTGTGGGTGTGTGGGTGCGTGCGCACGTGCGTGTAAGGGAGTGGGTGGCTGGCTAGAGGAAAAACGTTGAGTTTTGTACACATTGTGTGTGACAGAGAGGAAGAACAGTTAAAGGGCAGGGAAGAACAGTAAGGATGTGTGTGAATGTTTTTATATGTGTGTGGGTGTGAGTGTGGGCAGAACATGTTACACTGTGGAAACTGTCCAGGAAAACCAGTTCAAACACCTGTTTGTTGTTTCTGTTTATGAACTACTTCCCCCTGATTGACTGATATAATATAGGTTAGTTATACTTGCTGGGTCACTGGTGTGGAGTAACAGTCTCAACATGTTTGAGGAGACAGTGTTACCGGCTTAAAGGTTCACCACAGTGGTACACCTCAAAAATAAAATTAAATATATTATAAATTACAACGTGCTGCCAGGACATATGACAGATCCTCCCTTAGAGTTCAATAAAAAAGGGAATGGAATGTCACCCAGCATCCCCTTTAGAAGTCGGGGAGATCATTTAAGTCCTGTAAGTAGCAAGGTGGGGCCTCCATGGATCTGACTTGTTTGTCCAGCACATCCCACAGATGCTCGATTGGATTGAGATCTGGGGAATTTGGAAGCCAAGTCAGCACCTTGAACTTGTTGTTGTGATCCTCAAACCATTCCTAAACCATTGTTGCTTTGTGGCAGGGAGCATTATCCTGCTGAAAGAGGCCACTGCCATCAGGGAAGCTCACCTCCAATGATCCATTCAGCTGTTCTTTCCATGGCTATCAAGTGGCAGGGTGGATGAAGCGTTTGTGACACTAGTGTTTAGACAAAGCCTTTTCATACAGTTAGCCTAATAAGCCATTTTCATGCATGGGAATTCAAATTCTTAAAACAACCATTGGAACTCCTACTGCGTTTAAGTTAGTAGAGAAATGCACCTGTAATGGTTGGTTTATAAACCTTATTATTTAAAAACTCAGAGCCAGGTTCATTATCATTTACTACTTCTCTGTCTGTCTCTTCCAGGCGAACTGTGAGTGGGAGTGTTAGTGGAAGTGGTAGCAGTTATAGTGGTTCTAGCTCCAGATCCAGATCCTCCTCCAACTCCCTCTCTCGCTCTGGATCCAGAAAATCCAGGTACTCGCCCAGTGAAGACTCACTGTCATCAGTACTGCAGTTTGCCAAGAACTTTCTTATAAAGAGATGTTGTTGATCATGTATTGCATTATAAGTGGTATTTCTGATCTTATTATATAATGACCTTATTTAATAACAAGCAAATAACAAGCAAATGGATACAGAACATGTGTATAATTGTTAATTATAGTATCTCTTACACACAAATGTGAGAGATGGACATAAAACAGGATGCTTGATGAATCTTAAAGAGTTGTCCCTGTTTTAACTTTTTCAACCTGCCCAATTGGATTCCATCATGTTCTCTCTTGCTTTCATGTGCTGTCTCTTCTGGGAAACTCTAGGAAATCCAGGTATGAGAATTATTTTTCAGTGTGTGCAAAGTGCATGCCGTGTGTGTGTGTAGACATGTGGGCATGTTGGAACTCAGTCAGTCCCAGTTATGTGTCCTGTGTGACTGCTGAAGAATCAGCAGCTCATGGCTATTGTTTCTTGCCACAGATCGCTGAGCGTGAGCAGCGTTTCATCCGTGTCATCAGCGTCGTCCAGCAGCAGCTCTGTTCGTAGTGCAGACTCGGATGACATGTATGCTGATCTGGCCAGCCCAGTGTCCTCTGCCAGCTCCCGCTCTCCCACACCAAATCACCCCCGCAAGGAGCGAGGAGGGCCTGCGCGGGACCGGCCTCCACATGGCAGAGACAAAAACAGGGGTTAGTGTTGGCAACAAAGCAGGACTGATACAAGACAGCATAACATACCTATACCTAGAATTTGTCTAGTACAAAAATAAAAAAAATATTAATTATCTAATTAATATTTTATTGATTTTTTTCTTTTCTTTTCTATAAATGGTAAATATAGGACTGATGATTAGCACTGCATGGTTTATTTGTTCCCATATTTTCCTGTCCATCACAGAGAGACCATCAAAGAAAGATGAACCCTTTAGGGAGGACCGCAGGAAAATTGACCAATCTGATGCCCCACCTCGAGGAGGCAACCCCATACCCAGATCAGGACCTGGTAGCAGGGGTGGCCACCCTGTGCATCCCCCACCCGGCACCATGGGCCCCCCAGGAAGCTACGGAGGTTCAGGTTCCCACAAAGATATCAAACTCACCCTGCTCAACAAGGTAACTGTTGCTCCTTTTTTCCAATTTAACGGGTCTCTTTACCCAAATTTACAAAAGACATTTTCTCTTTAAAATTGGTAGTCACAAGTCTCACAGACAGGGTTTTGGTTTTATGTGCTAAGAAGTTGAGATAAGCTAGATAAACTTACTGCAATTTTTTTGTCTTAAAGGCATGAACTTAAACACTCAACAATGTAATGAGAAATGCAAGTATTTTTGTGAAGAAATTTAGGAGTAAAAAATTGCATTTAATATTGGACACCTGTCCCACACAGCGGATGTGCTGTACACGCAGTGGTTATCAATGTATGGCAGCTGGGATGTGATGGGCAGGAGAAGGAGTCTTTGTTTTTCCAAGCACTGATGTACATCAATGCTTGGAAAGAGGACAGCCTATCCTAACAAAAACAGCCTTTATCAGAATAAAGGCTAGAATAAAAGTAATTAAATAACAGAGAGGTGGCACAGATACCAGTCAGCCCTACAGCCAATTAAGCTGTCAGTATTAAGTTCATTAATCCACTGCAGTTCGCAATAACTGGAAAAGTAAAAGTAAAATTATTTTTGCTTTTAATATTTGATTTATATTAGATACAGTGGTGTGAAAGTGTTTGCCCCCTTCCTGATTTCTTATTTGTTTACACATGTCACACTGAAATGTTTCAAAACAAATAAAAATTTTAGACAAACATAACACAAAATGCAGTTTTTAAATCAAGGTTTTTATTATTATGGGGGGAAAAATCCAAACCCTTAGCAGCAACTACTGCAAGTATTTGCAATAACTGGCAGTGAGTCTTTTACAGCGCTGTGGAGGAATGTTGGCCCACGCATTGCAGAATTGTTGTAATTCAGCCACTTTGGAGGGTTTTCAAGCCATAACCGTTTTTCATGTCATGGCACAGCATCTCGATTGGATTCAGGTCAGGACTTTGACTACGCCAATCCAAAGTCTTCTTTTTGTTTTTCTTAAGCCATTCAGAGGTGGACTTGCTGGTGTGTTTTGGATCATTGTCCTGCTGTAGAACCCAAGTGTGCTTCAGCTTGAGGTCATAAACAGATGGCCGGACATTCTCCTTCAGGATTTTTTGGTAGACAGCAGAATTCATGGTTCCATTTACCACAGCAAGTCTTCCAGGTCCTGAAACAGCAAAACAGACCTAGACCATCACACTACTACCACCATATTTTACTGTTGGTGTGATGTTCCTTTTCTGAAATGCTGTTATTTTTACGCCAGATGTAATGGGACACACACCTTCCAAAAAGTTCAGCTTTTGTCTCGTCAGACTTCAGAGTCTTTTCCCAAAAGTCTTGGAGATCATCAAGACATTTTCTGGCAAAACTTATCCAAGCCTTTGTTCTTTTTGCTCAGCAGTAGTTTTTGTCTTGGAACTCTGCCATGCAGGCCATTTTTGCCAAGTCTCTTTCTTATGCTGGAGTCCCGAACACTGACCTTAACTGAGGCAAGTGAAGCCTGCAGTTCTTTGGATGTTGTGGGGGTTTTTGTGACCTCTTGGATGAGTCATCGCTGCACTCTTGTGGTAATTTGGTTGGCCAACCACTCCTGAGAAGGTTCACCACTGTTCCATGTTTGCCATTTGTGTATAATGGCTCTCACTGTAGTTAGCTGGAGTCCCAAAGATTTAGAAATGGCTTTTAAAACCTTTTCCAGACTAATAAATCTCAATTACTTTACTTAAATAATTTCTTTGGATTGCAGCATGATGTTTAGCTTTTGAGGATCTTTTGGTCTACTTCACTTTGTCAGGCAGGTCCTATTTAAGTGATTTCTTGATTGAGAACAGGTGTGGCAATAATCAGGCCTGGGTGTAGGTAGAGACAGCTGGGGCAATCGCTTTTTCACACAGGGCCATGTAGGTTTGGATTTTTTTCCCACTTAATAATAAAAACCTTCATTTAAAAATTGCATTTTGTTTATTTGTGTTATATTTGTCTAATTTCAATTTGTTTGATGATCTGAAACATTTCAGTGTGACAAACATGCAAAAACATCAGGAAGGGGGCAAACACTTTCACATCATTGTATAATATATTATGAGCTTGATTTGTTGTATATTGGCTAGAATGTTTGGAACTAATAGTTTGCCTAGTGCTAATGTTTACAGTCCAGTCTAAAATAAAACTTTTTTAATGATGCCAGATGTAAGAATGTGAAGCAATTTACATTTATTAATTGTGTTGTACTGCCAAAGTGTGAACAGATTGTAACGTAACTTAAGAAATTAGACCTTCCCAACTTTCTCAGGTGCCTGTAACAGCCTGTGGACTGATTTCTGTGTAGACGACTGTAGACAGATGTTTTTCTGGGAAAATCCAAAGAACGTGACGTCTATTTGTGCTCCCGAGTGCCTTCTCTTCTGCTTCCCCACACCTCCAACAGTGTGCAACACTATCTAATGTTAACTTAGAACTGTTCAACACAAAGTCTAAATTCACGCAAGCAGTACTGCAAGGCAGTATATATATTGTTTTTTGCTGGCTAATGTTAGATACAGTTAGAATGTTTAATTGCAAGCTAGCTAACAAAGCAAAATTCTGTCTTGAGTGGATAACATCAGCTGGTCTGGCTGGTAGATTGGCTGGCTTGCCGTTTTCAGGTTGCTTTGTCTTCTGGCGCTGTCTGCATGCAGTGTGGCTGGGTTGTAGCTGACTTGTTAACCTCAGCTTGCTTTGTCGTTAACGTTGGCAAAATACCATACCTGTCAACATTGAGATTTGAAAAATAAAGAACATTTTCAGGCACCCCACGCCGGGCCGTCTCACCACCCCTACAACTGTCCACATACCGCTTACATTTAAACAAGATACTTACTTAGATTGTTTACTTTGGCCTTTGTCTATCAACCTTTGTTGTTCATGCTCTGTGAGTTCTTACAAGCCTGTCGTAAATCAAGAAATTGTCATTCACTTTCCATTAGCGACCTCGAGTCCTGCAAAGGTCATGGGACAGCAGAGGTTCTTCGGGGAAAGCTTATCAGTTCTCGGGACAGAGCTTGTTGATGACTCAAAGGCCAACATTCAGAGAGGTTTAATTCTGTTTATCAATAAATATTCAAAATGTTCAAAATCTGTGTTGACCATGCTACACAATGTGCAGACATTTACTGTGAAGAGCACTGGCTAAATCTACCTGCAAATTACTTAAATTGTACTTGTGATTGTCCGGGTGATTATTATTTATTTATTTGTTGCACTTAGATGTGGAATAAATAAGTAGGTTGATCTTGTTTCTTGCATTCAATTCCACATGTCCTGTCATTTTCCAGCAGCAGGGAGATAAGGGCAACAGGAAGAGATACATGCCTTCAGACAAAGACAGGCCAAGTTCCCCCCCCAGCAAGAGAATGACCGTGTCTCCAGACAGAGGTGAGAAATGTGCTGAAAACAGCAAACACATCTGTTCACTGTCACACATCGTTTACTGTTTCACACAAACACACACCATAGCTAGACCAATATATGGGTTGAATGTATATGTAATGTATAACAGTTGAATTAAATCAGGTATTTGCTCTTGTCGATCTCTGACATTGATGGGTTATGATGTGTGTGAATGGCTCTGGCAGTAAAGTTGAATAATGTGGTCCTCCCTCTAGAGTCAGTTCTTAGTCTGTTATTTAATCTTCCGTGTGTGTAATCAAAGTTATGCTGATTATACACTACTGTATCTTTGTAGTGTACATAGCGGAGAATTTAAGAGCTTAAGAGCCAAATGTTTTTGTTGAGAACTTTTAATTCTCCCTTCAGTGTACCATCAAAATGCTTTTCAAAAAGCTGTTATTAAGGTAATATAGTTGCATAATGTTGCTTTAACAACTGTGTAGTCTCCAGAACCACAGTAATGTGTATTTTAACTAACTCTTAGCAAAAAGAAGCCATACCTTAAAACTATTAAGTCCTAACAGCTTCAATAACTCTAACTGGTGTTTTTCAGGCCGTGATAAAAGAATACCTGGCAGACCCCCGCTTTCCCCTCGAATGGATCGGCCCAGAGGCCAAGGGCCCCGACCAATGCCCCCCCAGGGAGACAGGTTGGTGCAACCTTCAGCATTGCTGTAGGACTGTGACATGTATCCACTAACACTTCATCATACAACAACAGTCACAAAAACAAGTCAAAAATAGAAGAAAAAAATAATAATAAGGGATTTTAGCTGGAAGTGTGGAAATTCTCAAGTCAGCTGTTTCTGACACATCATCATTATTGCAAGCAATGATTGTGTTTACAATGGCCAATCATGGAAAGGTTTTCAGGGCATGAAGTTTGCCTGACCGCAAATGTTTGGACAAAATGAGGAACCTGCCACAGCAGTTACACCATCTCTGCACGTGTCGCAATATTCACTGGCACAAATTCCCCAGCATGCAAAAGGTGCTTTGTAATGGTGCTTAGGTGTGAATTAGATAGAAATGACACATTTTTAGTCATATTGAGTTTATTGATTTTTGCATTTGTCGTCATCTCTGAAGCTCTGTCAAGTGGGAATCTCACAGTCAAACAGTTTTTTCAACCTAAAATGCTCACTCTAAAAGAAAATGTACATGAAAGCTGGTTGCGTTAGCTTTCTTAAGTCATGAAGTCTTGTAAACAGTGATGGGAATAGTTAAACTACATAAATGCACACTCGCATCAGTTTACGAGACTGTTGTGACTCCAGGTGGCTGGCTGCTTAGGGCTATCTCATTGTGATTTTAATGGTTGCATTTTAGAGCAACACTAAACGTGCTCTGTGTTTTTTGACGACGTACCGTCTCTAGTTACATGAGGTGACATCATGGTAGTCGACTGAACAGCCTACAGATTTTACTTTGTTCAGTATGTCCCCTCCTGCGCTACATCTGACATGTCTTGTCAGGAAACGCAAACAGCAAGAGATGTTTTCTTTCAGGTTGTGTAGGTCATTTATTATTCATGCTTAATAAATTATTTTCTTCTGGTTTTAGGTTTTTTTAGTCTTGTTGCATTTTTAGGTGGAAAGCATCTATTAAATTGGTGCAAAAACCTGAGCTTTTATCTTTTTGACCATACTATGAAGCAGTTTTGCACTCAAGTATGTATTTTACAATTGCATATGAATTTCTTTTAATTGTGCATATAATATAAATATAAATATAAATGTTTGATTATGCTAACTTAGCTTGACCAATTACTCATTTACTCTGATAGTTCTTGTGAAATTTTGTTTCCTCCCAATTTACTTCAATACTAAATGTCAGGTCAGGCATAAACATTTAGTAGCAACTTATTTTTAGATAAGAGGAGTTTGTGTGGTGAAACCTGTTTTCATTTCGAGATGAGTATCTATGTAGTAAATATTTATGTTACAACTAGGCTTAGTTTAAACAGCTGGTTCCTCATCCAGGAGGAAACAGTGCAGTTGCTGTGCATTAATACACATGTGCTCAAATGAGTGTTTCCAACAGCAGGATGTGTGTGGGATTAAGTGTGTGGGATTAAGTCAAAATAAGTGACGTGAAGTGTGTGTGTCACTCAGTGCATCAGTGTGGCCTGTTAATGTGTTTTTTTAATAGTTTTTGGACAACAGTTGAGCTGTGGGGCACAGAGGAAGAAGATATTTCAGGCTTTGTGTGTCATGCACAATACTTGTTAGTAGTAGGATCAACTCATTGTTGGTTGTGTTTTTTATTTGTTGACAGTGTTGAAAAGAATAATAAATCACCAGTGCCAATAATAAATTCTGTAAATATTTAATAGTTATTATTATTATTATTATTATCATTGCTGTAAGAAGCCAATGAGACAATAGACCTCTGACACTTTTTCACCCATATTTGATGACAACAGCTATTTTTATTGTTTTTGTAATTGTTTATTTTCTCTTTTTGTTCTGTCACTTCATACATGCATGACTTGTGCAAAAGTGTGACCAAAATTCTTACTGCTCTTCCTCAGAAAACGTCCTCTGTCACCACCACCTAAGTCGTCTGGGAAAGGCCCAGTTGCGCCATCAGGCAAGCCGGCCACCCCGAACTTCCCTTCAGCCACTGGCTCGGGCTCAGGCTCAGGTTCGGGCTCCAACAAACCCAGCAACACACTGTCCCGCCGTGAGGAGCTGCTGAAACAGCTTAAGGCTGTGGAGGACGCCATCGCCCGGAAACGAGCAAAGATCCCCACCAAATAAAAGCCTGTTCCTCATCTGTTCGCCTGCCTGCCAGTCTGTCTGCCTGCCTGCCTGCGTGGCCTCGTGAGCCGGGGCAACAGTGAGGGTCATGGGATGGAGCGTTTTTTCCCTGCCTTCAATGGACATGTAAAAATGTTGTTTGGTTCATGTATAAAGGCTATTGTGTAAGTGAACAGGAAGTGGCCACCACAAAAACCATCTTCTGCTTGTTTGCCCTGACAGAGGTTTGCCTCTGCTCCATTCTAGAGGGTTGTTCACTCCCACATGCCCGAGTTTAGCTCCCCTTAAAAGTCTTTGATTTCCTCATCAACGAGAAACAGGAGGAAATGTTTGGGCATCTGGTGAGGGAGGGACGTCTCAGGAATGGAGTGTACTTTGTGTAGACTTCACAGTACTTTGTGTAGACTTCACAGTACAGAAACAGAAGGGTAGTAAGGTGCATTTGATCACTTGCTGCTTACTCTGTTCATTCAGTGAAAAGGAAGCATCTTCCTTATGTGGTGTGATGAGTAACAGATTTATACACATTGAATCCTACTTTGTCTGTTTTTCTCTGCCCCCTTTTATCTTGTTCTCTCTTGCATCTTTTCTTTTTTTTCCCCCTTTAGTGTGGATTGGTGTGACTGAATCAGCTCCACAGGGTACTGACAGCATACAGGGCTTCACAACGCTTCTGTGTATAAATCTCCAAATTATTGAGCATCTGTATTCGGGCCCCTGTAAGTGATCATGAGCCCATGCTTTGTTCAAAGCGGATCCATCTTTAACCAATGACTCGTCTACGTTCTGTGTTTTAGGGCAGTGTTCACTGTCACATCTTGTACAATACTAGCAAGTCATCAGATTCTTTCAAGCGTATGGTTATAGACAGTGATGTGAAGTATTGCTTTTTTTTTTAATTTACAGCATTTTGTTTTCTTCTTAGCTCTTCTCTAGTGATAAACCGATGTATTATTTGTCACATTTTAGTTGGAGGAGTATGAGAGGTGGAACGGGGACACTTAGAGACAAGATATGTCTTGCTTTTGTGACAAAAGCCTTCTAAATAAACTATTTTGATAAAGAGGATGTCTGTTGCCTGGGTTTTCTGTGCAAGACAAAATGAATGTTTATTTAAACATGCACAGTCACATGTATATGGAGTTGAGACAATTCTTCAGCATAAAGAGCATGGAATTTACAGTATCTCACAAAAGTGAGTACACCCCTCACATTTCTGCAAATATTTGATTTTATCTTTTCATGTGACAACGCAAGAAATGACACTTTGCTACAATGGAAAGTAGTGAGTGTACTGCTTGTGTAACAGTGTAAATTTGCTGTCCCCTCAAAATAACACAGCCATTAATGTCTAAACCGCTGGCAACAAAAGTGAGTACAAGTGAAAATTACCAAATTGGGCCCCAAGTGTCCATATCGATGAACTGTAGCTCCCCAGAGCCGGCAGCACTCATGCAGCCCCAGACCAGGACTCTCCCACACTTGTCTCTGTACTCCTCACCTGGTCGCCGCCACACATGTTTGACCCCATCTGAACCAAATAAGTTGGTCTCATCAGACCACAGGACATGGTTCCAGTAATCCATGTCCTCAGCCTGCTTGTCTTCAGCAAACTGTTTGCAGGCTTTCTTGTGCATCATCTTTAGAAGAGGCTTCCTTCTGGGACGACAGCCATGCAGACCGATTTGATGCAGTGTGCGGCGTCTGGTCTGAGCACTGACAGGCTGACCGCCCCACCCCTTCAACCTCTGCTGCAATGCTGGCAGCGCTCATATGTCTATTTCCCAAACACAACCTCTGGATACGACGCTGAGCACGTGCACTCAGCTTCTTTGGTCGACCATGGCGAGCCCTGTCCTGAGTGGAACCTGTCCAGTTGAACTGCTATATGGTTTTGGCCACCTTGCTGCAGCTCAGTTTCAGGGTCTTCGCGATCTTCTTATAGCCTTGGCCATCTTTATGTAGAGCAACCATTCTTTTTTCCAGATCCTCAGAGTTCTTTGCCACAAGGTGCCATGTTAAACTTCCAGTGACCAGTATGGGGAAGTGTGAGAGCGATAACAGCAAGTTTAACACACCTGCTCCCCATTCACACCTGAGACCTTGAAACACTAACGAGTCACATGACACCGGGGAGGGAAAATGGCTAATTGGGTTTTCAATCCTGTCCCATCCAGTTCCTGAACATTTTTACAATCCAAAAATAGTGTTTAAATATATCAGGACTGCATATTTATATATAAAACTGATCTGTGATTCCTGTTCTGCAAAACTATACTAACTCTGTTGTGAAGTTTGCGGACGACACCACCATCGTCGGCCGGATTTCAAACAATTCAAATTTATAATCTTGCAGAGTGGTGCTCAGAGAACAACCTACTGCTCAACGTCAGCAAAACTAAGGAGCTGATCATTGATTTTAGGAAGAAGGAGATAAAGACACAGTGGAGCTGAGGTGGAGCAGGTGAATAGTTTCAAGTTCCTGGGAATCAGCATCACAGAAAACTCGTCTCACATCTCCACGCTGGGGAAGAAAGCTCAGCCCGAAGGATACTAAAGGACAGTACCCACGAGTTTCTGCTGCGGCACCACCAGACTGCAGAGCAAGCGCCTTAAAGTTAAATATATTATAGTGAAGTCTTTTCACTACAGTGTACTATTTAATGAAGCAGCCAACTGATGACCTTTTATAGAGTCTAACAGTACAGTCTGTTCCTCTTAATCAGTAGAATATCTGGGCCTTCCTCTTTGTTTCTGGTGGTGGACACCTTTGGATCAAATCTTCAGTTTCTTGGCAGTCTCACACATGGAACCTTCATTTCTCAGAAAAGCAATAGACTGATGTGTTTCTTGAGAAAACTGTTTTGTTCTGGCCAATTTCAAACCAATACTTAATCTTTAGGAGTATCAGCCCCTTGCATCCCCAGGAAAGACAACTTGCTTGCTTTACTTAACAGAAAAGAGTGAAAAATGTAATAGAAATGAATTATTTACAGTAGTTATAGACATTATTAATGCCTTAGCTATATAAAAATCAATTTAATGCCATCTTGTTGAATATAAACGTACAGTATATTCAATTAATACTTGTATTAATTTCAAAAGTGAAATGTGGTGTGTCGAGTAATTTTTTTAAGTGTAATTAAGCCCTAAACTCCATGAGAATTCTCCGTATGTTAAGTTGTATGCTGAGGGGGAGGTGAACAGTCCTGGTCCAGTCTGTCATCTGGAGTGGGCGAACAAATAAATATGTTAGTGAGGTGTTTTCTGGATGCATGAAGTGTTTTGCATTTCGGAATTCCTTTCAGAGGTCCCTCTGAACTGTGTGACCTTTATCTCAACCAGAAATTTGCTTAAGTTTTCCATAACTTGGAACATGACTGAATAAACATCCCTGTAAGAGTTAGCACAACACTCAGTGGAAACGCATGTATTCCACTGCCACTGAAATGTAAGAAATATGAAAGTATGCTTTCCTATGCTGTTAATAGTCACGTGACCCCTCAAATTTAACTTGCAAACCATGGTGGTTTCAGTGCCCTTTCTCCGTGCCCCCAGGAGGACAACCACAGCACAAACAAGTTTGAGCTAGGTAAAGATAAGCTCAAGAATAAACTTCCATGCCGTGGTAATAAATGTCTTGTAACACACGATAGCACATTTCTAAAGCTTAATAATGTATTGTGATGTTTAAGAGACAAAAACAAGTTATTGATATTCAACAGCTGAAAATAACCCTTTAAGATGCTGCTAAACTGTGCATACTGAATATATACTGATATACTGAAGCGTGGTATCACAACAGTGTGTACATAACTAAAATCAGTTTGTGTGTACAGAAACCAACAGAAAGTGACTTCATGAAAATGGAATTTTCCCAATCACTTGAATTTGTTTAGGGACACAGAGTCCATTCACGCGGTGTTTTTGTGTGGACTTTAACATGCAAATTTGGGCTATTGACCAATTGCAAACCATTTCGAGTGTGAATTCTAAATGTGTTTTTAGTCTTGAATTGTAGTTTTTCATTTTAGGAAATACAATAATGTTAAAACATAAACAATTACAAGTAAATTACAATCAATATCACTGAGGTAAGAGTACATAAGAATTACAGGGTCGTCTGCTGTACTGACCGTTAAGCCTCTTTGTGATTTTTGATTTTGGGCTAAATAAATAAAACTGACTTCAGTCTGCTAATACACTTCCAGACTTTCGTAGCACCCATATCAAAATAGAACATGTCATAAAATCTGTTAGTAGGTTTGAAGGCAAGCCAGCATTACATAAGGCAGTGATTCCAACACGTGCCACAAAACTGAAAGTAAAGCAACAAGCAGTGGATCAGTTTGATATTAAACCAGCTGTGTGACTCACATCCTTGCAGTTCTGATCTGGATCACAGAGATACTGAATGTGGTTTAAAATATGATGCTGAGAAATTTACTTGAGCTTGCGTTTAAATGTAAGGTTTAAACTGAGCTGCTGCCATTTCAGCCTGTGAAATGCATGTATTTAACTGCAGTTCCTCTATTAGTCACAATACATGCTTTCTCCAAGAACACTTGTTGACAGTTCAGAAAGTCCCAACTTCTCTCTCTGAAAATACACCATCATGTTTGAGAGTCACAATTGTTAATGTCACTTTATCTAAGGTGTGTCTTTGAGATGTATAGTTTCATTAAAAGGTCAAGATATTGCTTCACTGGTGTCCCAACCTATTACAGTCAGTTGTGGTGGTTCATAGCTTGCTTGACCCACCTTAGCTGCATTAAGCTTAATTGGATTTTCCAGCTCCAGTAACTGCCAAGATGACAGCGAGTGTAAACCCAAATCTAGACTTCACAGCGTCACTGGCAATGAGTTTCTGCTGTTTATTTCTAACTATATATTTCAAATTAAAGAAGCTAGTGAATAATGAGAGTCACCAGACAACATCACAAAAAATGTGTTTCTCTCCCCTTGCTCCTAGCAGAGGGTTTCAATGTGACTGGAAGGTCACAGATTAAAGATTGGCTCCTGAACCATCAGTACAACCGGGGTGGTGAGAAACTTGGGTGTCATAATTGATCATATCTATTTATTAAGTGCTGACTAAGGGTAAAACTTCTTTAAGCAGCCTAGATGGATGGGGTCCAAGAGACAGGTTGATGGCTTAAATGGATGGCTGCAAGGACCATTAATGCAAAAGTCGCCTATGTCTGCAAGACAAAAAGCCATCACTTAAACAGATATATGAAGCCAGCAATGTTACGCCTTCCATGTCTGGAAAGATCCGAAAACAAGGTGGATGAGCATGGTGTCTCTCATTCATGCCACTTTGCTCTTTACAACACTAGAAAAATCAGGCCTTACCTTACTCTGGACACCATCT